CATGATGCCAAACACAATGAGATATAGAGGTTAGGTTTACATACATTTTAAAACTCAAAATTTGTGGACTGGAAAAAGGTGACTAATGAAGGCTAAACAAAAACTGACTCAATTATGAGTGGGTATTTGTGGGTTCAAACAACTTCTGGCTACTTATAATATGTAAGAACACTGTCAAGAAAAGAAATTCCCTCTAGATCTTCACTCTGAATGTTTTCCTTTGCATTAATTGCACTTGATGTAATCAATGGGGATATGCCCTCTTCATTGGATTCTTCACTGGTTTAAAGAACCTAGAAGCAGCTTAAAAACTCTGTTATTCTACATAAAGATCAGTTGCAGGCAGGGGCGGACTGAAAACTCATGGGGCCCCCGGGCAATAGGGGATCATGGGGCCCCGTGTCCTCACCCACACTTAAACCACACCCAAAAAAGCCTATGAAAGGTACCAGGGGCATCTCATGGGGCCACCCCACTGACCCCGGGCCCTCGGGCAGTGCCCGAGTGCTTGAATAGTCAGTCCGCCCCTGGTTGCAGGGTATCTGGGGCCACATTTACTTCTCGTGTAGAGATTTTTTTTTTTTATATAAAAAAGCTAAGAGATGACTAAACACAGTGGCATATATACAAGTCAAATATGTTGAAAGCACTTACATTTTCATAGACCACTTGCTGCTTGTATCTAAATTTAAATATATTTGATTTTTTTTTTTAGTGATTCTTTCACCAAGACACCACCATTAGATCCAGAAAGGCTGAACATCTTTAAAACTATCAAAGAAATAACAGGTATGTTCATTAATAGATAATGCATCAGACGATGTAGGGGTTGACAGTCATAGAGCAAATTGTCTGTTCCCTTTTAAAGAGAATTGTCACTTTGCAAGGGAATTTCCCCTTAGCTAAGCAGATGTGATGAAAATTCACTTTGCAAAGAATACCCAGTCACGTGCAAGGAAAAATAAAAACAAAAACCAGTATGATTGGATGATGGAAACAGCAGAGCTTCACCTCCTTTACTAAACACAAAGGGAAAATTCACTTGCAAAGTGAACAGTCTATTTATCATTAGTAAATCGAACACATAAGGTCATCATGTTGTCTTAGGTGTGTCATTATCTTTAATCAGTTTATTTTGTTTGAGTCATGATTTGTACCTGATGACAATACTAGTAGCATATTTAAAAATGTAGCCCAGTAATAAGAGTCTTTCCTACTAACAGGCAGCCTGATGTATGAAAAGTGTAAGGACATATCTTGGCTATTGCAAACTGTCAGCTTCATCTTTTTTTTTTACAGACATTGAATATAAAAATGACAGCTTGGTTGCTTTGGGCAAGAAACATACCCTTTAACACGCTCTTTAGCCTGGATTCACAAGCACAGTTTTTTTTTTTTTTGGGGGGGGGGGGGGGGTCTTGTGTTTTTCAGGCTTGAGCTTTTTTATTTTAGCCTAAAGAAAGCTAGTTACTAGAAGGAAGAGACCATTGTTAGACTCAAAATTGCATTAAAAAGGGCTCGTTATGTGCATTTTAAAGTGCTTCTATGGATGTTGGGGCCAAAAACACATAATCAAGCCCCAAAGATGCTCCTGTACTTTTTCTGAAAATCAGCACATCAGTTAAATGTTAAAGAGGATTTTCACTGGCCCACCTCCCACATTCTTTTTTTGCTTCTCTTACTGGGTAGGTACATTCGAGATATTCACCCATACAGAGGATCCAGTGTTGTTCTGCTGAGATCCTCCTGGGTTCTATCACCGCTCGGTCCTGCGCTGTCATGTTTTTTATGAGGTCATCAACTGACTTGTCCTGGCTCAGCCGTCACACCTCACGATGACAAGGCACTGGGCATGCCTCCCTCCACTCTTGTGAATGAAGGGCTGTGCCATCTGGTAATGTGACGTGCTATCCCAGGAGGCATTGGGAGCATTGTGTACTTCTTTTGCCTAGGCGAATTATGTGCATAGGGGGCCCAGGGTTCACCTTTGTATAAAAAATAAAGGCAAATAAACACAAGAAAAAAAAATATTGCTAATCACGTGGAGAAGGGGTGACGAGGAGGAAAGTACCTACAGCTGGTGCAGATCTGCTTTAATAGGCACAATAAAGAGGAAACATGAAAAGCAGGTGCTGAGCGTTGAAGCGCTTCTAGAAATGAACTTGAAATCATTCAGTTTGAATGAGGCCTTACAAATCATATCCTTTGTGATTTTTCTAAGTTATTATCTTCTAAGCATAAATTAAAGCAAACCTGTCAGCCATTTTTTATGTTCTTAGTAAAAGTCTTTCCTAAAAAAACAGACAGTTTGTTAGATTCCCAGGCTTTATGTCAGTATCTGCACCCTTGAAATGCCTTCATTAAGCTAGGGTAAGTCAGGGGGGCAAGTCTTACTCCTAGAGTTGGGAGAGTCATTCTTTATTAACAATGTAAAACCTGGATCAGATGTTTATCTGGATAACCACTTCAATAACAGTTGGTATCTCTTTTTTAAGCATGTTTTTCTTTTTAAAGTTTAAAATAACTGACTGTTTCACTTAAAATATTCTACACATCTCCTGGACCCAACTGTCTTTGACGTTTGAGGACACAGAAGGAGCAGTACAGTAACACTGGAACTACACCATTGACTCCTCTCCTGTTGTCCTCAAGAAAGTCATGACTATGATACTACGAGGGTCGGGTTTTGTACCAGGGGTGGAGCTTATGTTTAGGGACAACCATTGAAGTAATGTCTGGGTTGAAGTGAATGTTCGTGGTTGAGAAGTAGTATGCATGCAAACATTCCTGTCCTCATAACTTTTGTTGATATCTGTCAGACAAAATAACTCTGAAAGTTCCATTTCTTTTACAGGATTCCTATTAATTCAGTACTGGCCAGCCAATTACACTGACCTAAGTGTTTTTGAAAATCTTGAAATAATCAGAGGCAGACAAAAGCAACTGTAAGTAAATCCCATGAATAAGGGAGTTGAGAAATGAAATAAATCAACCAATGGTGGTTCTGGTGTAGCTGCTTTTAACTTGAAGCTCCAGCAGTAATATTTATGGGCAATAGAGAGTGCTCTGTCCAAAACCTCATGATGGTTATAACTTTCTTTAGGTGTTTATGACATTTTGTCAAGGTGTATGTTGGAAATACTAGGGTCGGGGCAAATTTGCAGCACTCACTGAGACAGTGGGAAAGGGAAACTGTCTACCTAGGGTCTTAGATGAGTACCATCAAGAAACAACAGTTTTAGATACTTCTAGCCTGAAAACTATTTAGCTTAATTAGTAATATGGGCATATTTTTTTATAGGTCTGTTTAGAAGGGCTTGCCAAAGGGGACATATTTAGATTAAGGAACTGCTAAGACTATATATTTGAGTCCACAATTTCTCAACCTCTGGGCATGTCCACCAGGGTTGATATGCAGTCCCTTCCTTTTCACAATCTCCAAATCAATTAGAAGAATCGTTTGAAGTGTAAGAAGCTAATTTGGTCGGTACCATATATCATCTCAATAACACTTTGTAATTAGCTTCTATAATGGAAGTGCTTATAAAAGATTTAGAAGCTAATAAAGCAAGCTTATGCCAATCAGAAAGGTCAAGGTAATGAGGATTTTGAAACTTGAAAATATTATTTTCTCCAAAACCATAAAAGACAAAAAGCAGTGCAGCTCTGTTTCATGTGTATCATGAAAGGGTATTTCTAGGCAAAACCTTAGAGTGAGGCATGGTTAGACCTTCTGTCAAGTTGTTATTGCTCCCCCCCCCCCCACTTTATTTGTACCCCTCTCCATTGTCAATGAGAAAGAAAATAAGGGGAAATCCAAATTCTTAGGGTTGTGCCCAGAGCAAGAGGAAAGGGGTCTCCTGTCCCAGGAACAACAGTCTTAGAGGGGATTCCTCTCCACATTAAGAGATTTCCTCTGTCTGTTGCTTCATAGGGGCAGGGAGTAAATATACATTTTTCCATTGATACACAGAAAGCAAAATAAATAAATATAATAAATCTGGCACAAGGCTTAATATTTCCCCTTGAGCAGTGCAATTACCTGAATCTAACCTGGTAGACGTTTTCCAATCCAAAGTATAGCAGTGCTCAGACTGGAACAGAGAGGAGCAGCAAAAGTAGTAAATCTGCTGTACTGCAGTGCTTATATGCTAACATGGGATATGTTAATAGGAGTAAAGAAATAGTGTCAGAGAGATGAGTTTATTAGCTTTCTTCTCCTTCATTTTCCTGTCACAGGCTGGTGACAGCACCTGTAATTGTTACTTAAAGTGTTCCTAAACCCACAACAGTAAAATCAGTCTGTATATGCACTAAAGCATGCTTGTTATACTCACTGTGGAACCTAAGGGTTTAATCCTCTGCATTGTGTAAAAAGACTGTTTGATCCTTTCTTCTTTGTTCCTCCCCTTTTTCAAGTGACCACCTCTTATCTCCAGACTGAACCGTAGGCATGCACATGCTCAGTTTGGTGTGTATTGCAAGAGAGGGTTTTTTTTTTCTTGGGAGAGTGCATGTGATCAGCACAGGGCCAATCAGCACTGTCCAGACAGAGGTTAGGGGTTCTGCATTCTTCTAGAGCAGAAAGAAAACTTCTCCTACAAGCTTTAGCTAGTGGTGGGCTGAACACTGATAGAAGTCACAAGACTGCTCTAATTGCTGATGAGAAAAGGTATTTAGCAGTTTATATTTACTAAAACAATTGCACTTCCATGTTCTATGTACTGTGGGAGACCAGATATAGTGAATGCAGAGTCCTGGGTTTATTAACACTTTCAATGTAGCAGAGATAAATCGGATCTAGCTGCGGTGTGTTTCAAATCTACGTAAATCTCACAAATGGTTTAACTCATATTTCCCCAACATCAGCACCATTGCCAGACCTTAGCACTATCAGGTTGGAGCTTGGAGGTGAATGTGTTTAAGACTGTGCAAGTGTCAACATGAAAATGATGTACATAATAAAAGTTTTCTTTCATTCTAGTGGCAGATACTCTGTGGGCATAGTGGGCCAAGAAATAAAGTCTCTGGGATTGCGCTCTCTCAAGGAAATAAGCGATGGTGATGTGATAATTAAATCAAATAAAAATCTCTGCTATGTTAATTCAGTCAACTGGACGTCTATCTTTAGAACAAACCAGAACACAAAAATTGAGGACAACAGTCCTGAAGAAGAATGTGGTAAGTTTACCACCATAGGACATGTAACAATATGAAATTCTTCTATTTTTGTGAATAAATAATAATAAATGTACCATGTGTAGGGAAGCATTGCCTTATCACAAGGCATTTGGATTCTTCCCTTGCCACTAGCTGTGTTTCTGTAAACATAACTGTCCAGAATACCAACAGCAATGGTCTGAACTTAAAAAGAACTTAAATACAAAGATAGCGAGTGCTTGGGTATCCAGGTCATGGGGACGTTTGAAAATGTCATGAAGAAATAAAAGCAAATGTCTATAAAAAATCCCTTTCAAATTCTAAAATAAAAACGGAATGTCAATCCCCTGCTATAGAAAAGGTGTATAATCGCCTCCTTGGCAGTCCATGTCTCTTACCTCCCCTCCATTCCAGCACTGCAGCCCCTGTAAGACCCTTCAACTTTTTTCACTTCTGGTATTATTGGATGTCTGTTTTCCCATCCATGTGCTATAGATCCTTCTCCAAGCCTTATGTCATTGCTGAGTCTTGGGGTTTGGAGAAAGGGTCCACAGAGGCAGGGGGACTCAGGCTTTTATGCTACCAGAAGTGTTAAATTCTGAAGCGTGGGAGGCTGAAGCTTTGGAATGGGTCACCAGAGAGGTAAGTATAATAGTGTAGTTCTCTTTTTTTTGCAGGGAACTTAATACTTTTTACAGACTTACAGGATCTATCTCTACAAAATTCAGCCACGTATTTTATCTAATCTAAACAAAGGAAAACAGTGGGAGCTAAGCAAATCCAAACTTGCTATGAAAAAAAAATATTTCCTTGCTCTTTCCTGCTTCCTTTATCCCTTCTTCCTCAGGGTCATTGACATATGGAAACAAATGTAGCAGTGCCAACATGCTTTAGTTAACTTAAAGTGGTTGTAAAGGGTACAAGGTTTTTTACTTTCATGCATTCTATGCATGAAGATAAAAAATCTTCTGTGTGCAGCAGCTCCTCTAGCCCCCCTAATACTTACCTGAGCCCCATTTTGATCCAGCGATGTGCACGAGAGCCTTGGCTGTCCTGGGTCTCTGCCTCCTCATTGTCTGAGACAGCAGTGGGAGGCATTGGCTCCTGCTACTGTCAATCATAGCCAGGAAGCCAGTGAGGAAAGAACAAATGGAGGGGCAGAGTCGTGGCTATGAGTGAATGAACACACAAAGCAGTGGCTCACAAAACCTGCTTGGCTGCCTCCATAGCAAGCTACTTGCTGTGGGGGCACTTGGAAGGAGAGAGGGGCCCGGAGCACCGGCGGTTGAACCTGAGAAGAGAATGATTGTGGCTGCAGGTAAGTATGACCAGTTTGTTATTTAAAGAAAAAAATCTGCCTTTACCATCATTTTAAAGTGGTTCTAAAGGCTTAAATGCATTCTATGCATAAAGAAAAAAACCTTCAGTGTGCAGCTCCCCCATAAGCCCCCCAATACGTACATGAGCCCGATTCAGCAATGTGCAGGAGAGTAGAGGCTCTCTTCGGTCTCTCCCTCCTCAGTGGCTGAGACACAGCAGCAGGAGCCATTGGTTCCTGCTGATGTCAGTCACAGCCAGTGAGGAGGTGGCGGGGCCAAGCCACACTCTGTGTGTCTCATAGAGACATAGAGGTGGCTCGGGAGTGAGCACTCACGAGTACCCCCAGATTAAGCAGCTTACTTTGGTGGCACTCAGCAGGAGGGAGGAGAGAGGAGCACCGGCAGAGGGGAAGAGCAGGATCGGGCCAGCGAAGTAAGTATACCATGTTTGTTATTTTAAGAAAATAAATGAACCTTTAATATCACTTTAACAATTACTTAACAATCATTTTATGACCTAAATCATTTTTAAATGATTTGATACATTGTTTTAAGAAGGTCATGCATAAAATGTATCATAACACATGTAACGCATTTATTTTTTCTCACAAAACCTCTGCTTTAAAGTGATCCTGTTGCTAGGTAAAACACTCCAGAAAGTGTCAGACACCAACAACACCTGTAGTTTAGCCATAGAACTATTATTGTAGTCACCGTATGATGGACAGATAAGTACTAGTAATCTTTTGCAGATTGGTTCTTTTTCAATATGTTTGGCTGTTTTGTCCCATAGGACTAGGCAAAAAAAATTATTTGGCAGATGAGAAAGTTTGCATATTCTTATGTCAATTTTGTATTAGCTGTTGACCTGAATGGCAGTCAGGTTGTTCTTTAAAATAAACATCTCCATTATAGATGCACAATAAATGATCCACCACTCAGCAGGTATATATTGGCATGTTGGTAGGTACTAGATGACTTTATCACACTGGTATTATATCATTCCCTAAGGAAAAATTTGCTCAGAGCCTAAATCTGTCAATCGGTGATACAAACAAGCATGTTTATACACTTTTTCTCAGGGAAAGACAAGTACCTGTTCAGAATATGCTTGTATCTATCAATCGCTGGCTTTATAATTTTGTTATTATTATGTTTAGGCAAAAGTAGATGATTTCTTATTGTATTTGATTTTTTTTTTTCCTTTTTTTGCAGTTCAAATTGCAGGTGTTTGCCATCCTTTATGCTCTGCCCCAGGGCTGTTGGGGACCTGGACCTGCACAGTGTCTGTCGTGTCAAACATATAAACGCGGAAAAGAATGTGTACCATCCTGCAACATCAATATGGGGTAATTTTACCTTAGCTAAAAATGAAATTAAACCCAATAACTAAACTCTCATATAAACTTCAAAGTGTTATTTTTATTTTAAAAGTTCTTTTCAGTCTTTTTAAATATACAGATGTTAAGATCTTGTACTGCAGATCCTAGTTGAGGCACTTACTGCTACAAACTGTCACCTTGCATTGTTAATTGTCAGCTACCCCTGTTTGAGACTACATGCAACTTTGCTGTCAGTCATTGTGCAGGCATAGTCCACAGTTGTCAGTATCAGAAAGGCGAGCCAGAGCTGTAGAGAGTGAAAATAACTGCTGGAGATCATAGTTGGATAAAAGGGGCTTAGAAGGACTAGTTGACCAATTAGAGAGCTACATAGGGAGCCACTGGACAAGAAAGACAATGGCTCTTTCTTCACAACTAACCATTGACCCCCATAAAGATGCCAAAATGTTTAATGGTTGAGGCAGATGATTAGTTCCATTGGTAGTATCACAGGAAATGATGCATGGGTTGCTAGTACTGAAACTAGGGGCCTAGGGCAATAATTGTGTCCTTGCCCAAGAGGATACAGTATCATGGGGCCCCCTATGTGAAAGATAGCAGAAATGGTCAGCTGTCCTTTTAAGCACCAATGAAACAATTGGAGCAGACAGGATCTGAAAGAGTGGATGTGTCCTTGCAACTAGTCAGCTTTCTTGATCGTTTAGATAAACTTTAAAAATTGAAACAGAGAAATCTGAGTGGTTGCCATGCAACAGCTTCTTGCAGATTCTGGCTGTTCCAGTTTATAAATTCCCCTCAATGTACTGTGCATGGCAAGGGCATGCACATAATTTTGATGTTTGGGAATCTTTTATTCAAACCTAACCTACTGATTTTCCAACAACCCATAGTATAATGTTTCTAACACTCTCAAACCAGACTAATAATTGACCATCCTCCAATTGACCTCTACCTTCCACCTAAATTTGACTTTATATCCTATTGGCTGGGTTCTTTCACCTTCCTCCAAGTTAGTTAATAGACCGACCACCCTCTGTCCGATCAATGCTCATGCTTAAAACCATTTCCAATTTTAAAGTAGAGCTCCAGTCAAACCTACAAAAAAAAAAAAAAAGTCAGCAACTACAAAAACTGTTGCTGCTGGCTTTTAAAAAACAGCCACTCACCTGTCCCAGGTTCCAGCAGTGTACTTACACCGCAGCCCCTTTCATTGTCCATCCTCACTTCCTGGCGCCGGCATCCTAAGTGTGGGTAACCCGGCTGTGACAGCTTGTGGCTTCACAGCCGGGTGCCCGCTGCGCCTTGTGAATGTTACTGCAGTCTTCTGAGCCCTGTCACGTGTCCCAGAAGACTACAGGGGACAATTTCCACTTCCGATCACCTAGGCGATCGCAGCATAAGTGGGAGCAGGTACCTGTCAAAATTGGGTACCCGCTCCCCAAAGGTGCCAATTCCTCACGGGGAGTGGGGGACCAGTACTTAAACCTGGAGCTCCACTTTAAACTACTATAATCATGTTTAGTATAGTTCTATTGGCCAAATGTTGTTGTCAACGCCATTCTCACATCAAAAATAAAATTAAAAAACAAAAATGACAGTAATTAATTCACCCACAGTGAATGTTTGGTGAAACTCATAGTACCTTTGCTTTATAAATATGTTTCTTAGTGATATCTTATTTAGCAGCACAGTGGGTAAGTGGTTAGCATTTCCGCCTGGTAGTACTTGGGTCGTCGGTTCAAATCCCAACCATGGCGTCACCTGCCTGGATTTTGTATGTTCTCCCTATGCCTGCGTAGGTTTTCTCCCACACTCCAAAGACATGCTGGTAGGTTAATTGCCTCCTGTCTAAATTGGCCCTAGTATGTGTATATATGAATGTGAGTTAGGGACCTTAGATTGTATGCCCCTTGAGGGTTAGGGACTGATGTGAATGTACAATATATGTATGTAAAGCGCTGCGTAAATTGATGGTGCTATATAAGTACCTGAATTAAATATAAACTGAATATTATTAATATAATACAGGATTTATATAGTGCCAACAAATTGTGCAGCGCTTTATGGAATAAAGGAGGAGGGCTATGGAGGACTAGGTGGAATATGATAAAGAATGCAGCAACTACCATCACCTAGCACATCAACGCTCTTTGCAGGTGCTTGGTTAGTAACAAACAAATGGAAGATCTTTTTCCACCCAGGATTTAGTTTTGCCTCTAGAATATTGTGCCTCAAAGACCACCTAAAGCCTTGTTTGTAGACTTTTGTAATTAGTACACTAATTTTAGCATACAGTGTCATGGTGATTTGCGTAAGACCTGGCTGATGTTTCAGGAGAATTGTTTTGTGTTTAGCTCCAAAATACGCAGAATGCCGTAGATGAACTGAACACGTAGCTCCCGATTGCCTTAACACTGCCTTTAATCTTAGTCTTATCCAGACCTTTAACTTTCCTGGAAATCGAGCTTTCTGTGTCATCAGCAAGATTTAGTAAATGCATAGAAGTATAATTAGAGAAAAGCTTTTCTATTTTCTATGGGCTTACATGTCTTATTCTGGGGGGATTTTTTTTGGCTGCTTTCATTCCTGTAACTGGAATATATCCTATGATTACTTTACCAGCTTTGTAAAGCTGTATGTTAATTAACAAACAATTTAAGACAGAGAGAATTAACATGAAAATATTGTTTAAAGAGACCCTGTCATCAGCTAAAAAAAAAAAAAAATGCAGATAAAAGCACAGAAAAAAACCAAGGTGCCATTTCCATGGCGTCAGCGGCCTGGACATCCAGCTCCTCCTGTTGCCATTGCATGACCAGCCAAGGTAGGCACGCACTTCCAGTACAGTGCATTGAGATTGGTGAGCAGTGCGGTCACCTGGCAGTGGTGGCACTGGACCCTGATGATCACACCTCCTCTATCGGACACATCTGACAAATGTATCCGATCGGATGATTAGCTCCATTACACAAATTTTAGGCATGAGTGTGGACTCATGTAGCAAGGACTAACCACCCTCTTCTTTATTGATTTCTGGATTTTGAAATTCTTGGTGGCTAGAGAGCAGAGGGTAAAAGCTGGTAATTGTTATTGATCGATGCTGTCCATTAATCCGGTAGTGCCACAGGGATGTGTGCTAAGCCTTTTTTTTTTGTTTACTTTATACACATATGATTCCAGTTAAAGTTTAACTACACCAGGGGCGGACTGACCATTTGGAAACTCAGGCACTGCCCAAAGGCCCAGGGTCAGTAGGGGGCCCCATGAGATGCCCCCGGTACCTTTTTCATAGGCTTTTTTGAGTTTGGGACACAGGGGCCCTATGATCCCCCATTGCCAGGGGGCCCCATGAGTTGTCAGTCCGCCCCTGAACTACACTGTATCTGAGAATCACAAACCAAAAACACTACTTAATTCATTTTTAATATTCAAAGCAAATTCCCCCATCCATCCATGTCTCCATCCTTTATTTTGCTGAGAAATCACTTTGAAAAACATTTTCCTAGCATTTCTCACTGTGGTCATCTTGAATAAGGGCAGTAACATTTACTTCCTGGAATCCATCTTCCCTTACCTTAGGCATGCCGACAGAAGGGTGTGCTTAGCTTAGAAAACCTCCTCTCGTCCTGAAGACTCCTGGGATGTATGACACCATTTGCCAAGGCATGTAAACCAGGAAGCAGTTGAAGAAATATAAAAAAAAAAGTTTAAAGCAAGTAAATATATTATACCTTCCTATCTATTTATTAATGCTAGCTGTATAAGGATTACAAAAATTCAGTGTTGATTGGGAGAGTGAAGTTCCGCTTTAAGTTCCAGTTTCAAAAATGTCTAAAGATGGGAATACACGATTAGAAAATCGACTGATCGGTCATCCGACGAATGAGAGGCGTTTGTTCGTTGGTTGAAATCATGGCCCACATTAACCAATCTAAAAAATCGTTTAATGGGCAATACATAGTGTTGACATCTTCCGTACAAGTGGAAGTGATGTAGTGTGCATGTGTCCTTGTAGCCACGCCCTTCTGGCCAGAACGAGCAATATACACAACAATTAACAGCAATGAGTATAATATAGTTTATTACATTACCTATATACATAAATAGTGATACATACAAATATAATATGCAGAAGTCTGGTTTCATTATCCCATTAGGCCAATCTTCTTTCAGCATTTGGATTTTTCACTCATGTTTGCGAAGACTCCTTGGACATAAACATCTTCTGTTTCTGCTCATGCGTGATAGATCTTGATAGATTTTTTTAATTAATTTTTTTACGACCGTCATACCACCGCATAGAAAATTGGTCGTTCGCATGCGAAACAGCAAAATGTTTCACTGTTGTTCAACCGGATTTTTTTGTTCACAATATCGTTATCATTTAAAACATTCTGCTCATCAAACAAGAGAAAAACGTTCGATCAGTGGTTCCATGAAAATTTTCAGATGATTTTCTTATTGTGTGTATGGGACATGAGTTTTTTTTTCTGATGTATTCCTGCATTTTAAATGACTTGCCAAAATTGAAATTACGAACAGTCAATGTTAATTAGGCGAGTAAAGTTCAACTTTAAGTTACAGTGTCAAAAATGTCTGAGTCTTTTATTTCAGATGAATTCCTGCATTTTAAATGACTTGCTGAAATAAAACCTATTTGTCTTTTAACAATCAGGTATTGTGTACCCTATGGAGCGTTCAATATTCATTAATGTTAGAAAGTCATAGTACAGAAATATCACCTTCCATTTTTTTCCTTTTTTTCTTTGAGTCAAGCCTCTTCCAGGTGACCATAGCCTTCTTCTTTTTTAGTAACATCTCCACTTTTAGCTTCTGGGATTCTATTACTAATTAAAAGAAATGGAACAGCTGTGTTGCCTTTCGGCATAAGTAACTTGAGCAGAAACAAACATCTCCAAATGATCCACAATATTTCCAGTGACGCTGGTTTTAAAGCTGCTCAGTTCATCCCTGAATTTGTGGGTCGCCAACCTGGCACCAGCAGTGTTAAGGTGCAGGAAAAACTGGCGTAGGGTGGTAAGATATAAAAGAAGCCAGAAACAGTGGCATAGGGGGATTCAAACTGGTCATGAGCAGTCAATTCTTAGGGTGGATTTATGGGTTCCATGACAGGGGTGGACTGACAACTCATGGGGCAACAGGGCAATAGGGGATCATGGGGCCCCTGTGTCCTTGCCCAAACTCAAAAAAGCCTATGAAAAAGGTACCAGGGGCATCTCATGGGGCCCCCTACTGGCCCTCGGGCAGTGCCCCGAGTTTCCAAATGGTCAGTCCGCCCCTGGTCAGGGATAATATTTTATTTTATTTTAAAATACCATATATAAAAATACATTCTGCGCTAAACAAATTAGATGGAGCCAAAAACTATACTAATGCTTAACCTGTTCCCCCTTTATAACGTCCACACGCCGCACATATGTGTAGTCGGGCAGCCAATGTTTCTGCGCTTAGCACACGCTCACTGCACGCTCCCAGCATCGAGACCAAGCTGTCAAAGACAGCTCTCAGGCCACACTATCATTAGCCTGGCAGGACCAACTCCCAGTCATTTGACCACTGTGACACTGTGACAGTATTTTTGCAGTTCTGTATGTGGTGATATTAAAGAGTAACTCCACTTTTGTTGTGAAAAAAGCAATCCCCCCTTGGTGATCAGTGTACATTGCACGGATTTTAACAAACCCTGTTTCAGATTTCTGCCTCTTTCATTTCTGAAGGAATTATGCTTTGTCTTGTCTTGTACTTGAATGATTTGAAATGAGAGTGACTAAATGTTTATAAGCAGCTGATGCACTTTCAATGTTCTGATGAGAAAAGTTGCAATGTCTGCATCCCTTTGTAAGTGATTAACCTCTTTACGCCAAGCATGCGCAAATATGCGGCCTCTCGACGCCTATTTACGTACCATTTGTAAATTGCTCCCAGCACGTGTCGGCATCCCATGGAAAGGTCCCAAGCTGTCCTTGCGAATGATACCTTTCCAATCATGTGACCACCGTGGCAGCCATTCACAGCGTCCACATGACCCTAAACCCCAACCTGTGTCCCAGCGTCAGAAACCCCTTAACCTCCCTGGCAGTAGCTTGGGGTAAAGTTTCAGCACCACAAGCGGTAACCCCGAGCTACACTCAGGAATACCCGGCAGCGTTGCTCTGGGATCTCTTCTTACCTTGTCCTGAGCTCCCACGATGTCCCTCCTGCAGTGTCTCCGGCAATGTCCTCCAGCCAATGCCGGCATCTGTCTTCTGGGTTCCGTTCCCTACGACGTCAGGACATACGGGGACGGAACAGCGGGAAATTTAAAAATGTGAAAAAGTGACATTCACTAAATACACTAAAATCACATAGTAAAACATTACTGTATCAAAGCATTTCACATACATTTTGTCCCTAGTGCTTTGTCCTGTGCCCTGCCAGCATTTTTACTGTTCTTATTGCTTGGAAACTGAGAAATGTCCATGGTGTCCAAAAAGTGTCCCTTTAGGTCAAAAGTGGTTTTAGGCCAGCTAGAGAACAGCGATAGTAAATTAGAACTACTTGCAGAATTGAGTGATAATGATTCCTGGGGAAATTCGTCATCAGACACTGAAAACGATTTTGCGACTTTGCTCAGTGATGTGCGAACCTGGCGCTCAAATTTCAGTGTTTTTGGTTTGATTATATTATTGAATTAAATGTATTATTATTATATTATTTTTTTATGATTAGTTATTAAATGATAATTTATGATTTCGTGTTTCAAATTTTAACATACCCAGGATGTTTACTAGACTCTTGTCCGGACAGATTTCAGTGAGTTATTCCTAAAAATGACAGGCCTACAATAAAAAAAATACATATTTCCATTCAAAAACAATTACCGCTTTGAGCACAGAAATACTGACATAATCAGACCGCTAGGGAGGCTACAGAGCCTGGAGGCGCCAGCACGAAGGGATTAAGAATGTCCGCAAAAATTATCTTTTTTGCTGCAGTGGATGCCTAAATGTACTTTATCTTAGTGCCAAGTTCTTCAGTTCTCACCAACAGTGTACAGAACGCCTCCAGGTTGCCATATTGCATTGAATTTTACAGAAAATCACAGTTCTGTAGTGTGAAAAGGAAAGGTAATTTTAGTAACATTAAAAATACAATATGGCAGTGTAATACAAAAATACAAAAATACAGTGTAGCAATTGTTTATGCTATATTATTTTGTTTTTATTTGCTTTATTTTTTTCCATGAAATTGGAGTTGCTCCTTAAAACGGAGTTCCAGTCTCCTAGCCAATATTATAATAATAACATCATCAAGATGGTTTTAATTCACCAATATGGATATTGCTGGCCTTGTCTACATTCAAATTACTTACAAACTGAGTTGTTTTCTTTTCTCTCCCTGGATTACGGCTGCATACATAGAGGATGTGAGCAGCTGAAACCGGCCTGCCTTCATTTGCGGGTTTTTGTGCAGCTGGTTACCCAGCATGCACCTCCCAATCTTGCGTCTGTGCAGTAATGACATTGCGAGACATGCTTTTTTGTTACACGGTTTCTAGAGCAATGGTGGCATCAGCGGAAGTTTCCGCCTAGTTGTTATAGCAACCTTATAGTTAGTTCTATCCAGGAAATCTTGAGATAATATTCGCCTTAGATGCCTGAAGGCTCCTGGGATAGATGACATAGATATCCCAGGAGTCAAAAGACCAGGCTGATGACATAGTCGCTGCGACCTGAAGTCAAGGGGAAGCCGATTCAAAAAAAGGTACTTTATTTACATATAATTATACTGTATGCACAGTATAACTATCCAAACTATGGGTGGACATTTCATTGAGGCTAATTATTAAAAATGAGTGGAACTCTGCTATAAATACGAGTTTAAACAGAAAGCTAATTAAATTTAAAGAAAAAAAAATATATATATATATTGAATATATCCTATTTTTTTATTGTTGTTTCAGAGAGCCCCGGGAGTATATCGAAAATGACAATTGTTTTTCATGCCACCCTGAGTGCTTACACCAGAACAATACACTTGCCTGCATTGGACCTGTAAGTATGATGAATGTGTCACAATAATATATTTTAAACCAAGTTAAATAGAGAGTGATGCACAATATTGCACATTATACGTTAAGGCTGCTTTCACATTGACCATGTGTTCCTGTGGAACTCTTCACACTGATTCACTGCGGGTCCGAAAAACACACCTCCTCGTTGAAATCAAGGGAAAATGCATAAAAAATGTACCCGTGTTGCTTTTTTGTGTGGTTTTTGAGTCTTATGTCCTGTAAAAAATGCACCGTTTTTGACACGTTTTTACTACAAATCAATGTGAAAAAAGCCTTACTGCTGGGCTTCCTGACTAGTCAACTGACTGACTGCTTCTTTAGAAAGATGAAGAGGGGAAAAAAAGAAAGCCTGACTTAGAAAATAAACTTCCTGTCTTGAGGGGTGGGATAGACAGAGACGAAAGAGTAACAGGATGGATAACTGTTTTTCATTACTTTTTTTTTATTTTCTTTGCAAATATTGTTGCACATCTGGGCTCAATAGGCCCAAACGAAGGGAAAAAGAGGTTGTGGTGGGTTCAGTCATTAATTCAACTGTTTATTTATAATGACACTCTGGCTTTATCCAAGCACATATCACAGAATTTTAGGCTTTAGGGCTTTAGATCATGATTTCCAAGAAGGTTTTAATTTGATTTGTATTTGCTGTATGTTGATGAGAAAAATCAAAACTGATTAACTCAGTGCGTTTTATATGTGTGAAAGATCTGTTTCTCATAAAGATTGTGGGAAAATAGATGAAATGAACTGTATTTGGATTGAAGGGGAAAGGTTTTCCTTTCTTTCAGTTATCATGGAATCACGAAGAGATGAAAACAGTAACATTTGATATGGATTGCTCTAACTCAAACCATATTTAGTATTCATTTCCCAGAATGTCTACCACCACTTGCCTAGGCCACATAAGTTCAAGTGAATATTGAAAATACAATGGGGGATATGAGGGTGGCCTTACTTGGGCAGGTCTTGGGCAGTTAGGAATGGACTGTGGTAAATCTGCTTCTGTTAGGCCTCTTACACACTTGTGGACCTTTCATTTCAAAGGAAAAAAAACGGACACGTTTTCATCAGTATTTCATCAGTTTCTGTGAGTTTTTTCTTCAGTTTTTCATCAGTTTACATGAGTTTTTCATCAGATTTTCATCATTTTTATATCAGTTTGGCCCCTATCACAGGGCCGGATCTACGGGGTGCTGGGGTGGGCTGTGCCCACCCATATTTTAGCTGTGCCCCCCAAGGTCTCCACTAATCCATGAGCCAGTCTGATGCAGACAGTTGATGTAAGTAGGCACACAGATGGGTACAATCCATGTAAGGGGAGCACTCTGATGGGGACACCTGATGTAAGGGGGCACTCTGATGGGGACTCTGATAGGACACTTGATGTAAGGAGGCACTCTGATGGGGACTCCTGATGTAAGAAGGCACTCTGTTGGGGACAGTTGATGTAAGGGGAGCTCTGATGGTGGCACTCTCATGGGGATACCTGATGGGAACTCAGTGTAAAAGAGGCCTCTGATGAGGACTCCTGATTTAAAGAGGGACTCTGATAGGGACATTTGATATAAGAAAGACAGGTTCTGTGTCAGCCTGATACATGCTAGTGTTTCCCAGGTCATGACACTGTGTGACAGACTCAGGAATTCACACACAGTGTTGGCATTATGACCCCTGACTTTTTTCACTGCACCCCCAGACCAGATAGGCTAGATCCAGCTCTGCCCTATCAGCAGATCCACTTGCTTAATGGGGGGTCTCTCCGCTGATCCCCGCTGAGCAAGTGGATGACAGGTCCGTGTCCAGTACGCTGCTGCAGAGCAGACACAGACCGCTGTCCACTATGGGCAGTCGGATGGAAATGGACCTCCTGTTCATTTCCATCCGACTGCCATCCGATCCAATCCGATGGACAGAAGGGGAACAGATCCCCATCTGTTTCTTTTTGGCAGATCGGGTCAGATTGAATGTTGGTGGGTATAAACAGACACATGTCTGTTTACACCCACCACTCCATTGAGGAGAATAGAGGTTCTGATTGGGTCCGCGAACCCGATCGTAATGTCTGTGTGAAAGGGGCCTTTTTTACATCCACTTGAGTCCCAGAGCCATTTTTATATTCCTGAAGATTACTTGAAACCCCCCAAAATTATATATTTTCTGAAAGCAGACACCCTAGAGAATACATTTGTGATAGTTCCAATTTTTTTTTTGTTCCATGATCTTAGCACTACATTTGCAAAATGCAAAATTTCATTAAAAAAAAAAAGTTTAAATTTAGGGCACACAAACACAATAATGTACCCAATTTTTTGGTAAAATATAAAAGATGAAGTTGCACCAGGTAAATAGATACCCAACATGTCAAGCATTAAAATTGTGTGCACCAGTGAAACAGTTGAAAATGTCAATACCCTATATTTTCCATAGGTGATGCTTTAAAAGCCCCTACAGGCCATCAGTTTAGTGATACCCATGAGCTCTAATGCTGCCATTATTAGTCTGACTCTGGCCTGTGCGGTGATATATACCATGTGTAGCACAATTGCCAATTTTTGCGTAGGCGCCCCAATGATTGCATTTTGTAATACATTTTATTTTAAATGTGTAAGTAGGTGTGGGGAGGCTTTTTAAATTTTTCATGTGTCTTTTAATTGTTTTTTTTTTTGCTAATGATTTTATTGCTATCACATATGGGACCAATAGTCCTCTATGTGACAGCATATAAGTGATAGGTCCTCTTTGTGGGGGTGGGGGGCAGTATATGCAAGAAGACAGGCAGGAGAGGAGAGGAACAGTGTATACAGTGGGGGAGCAGTGAATACAGACAGGCTGCCGCACTTGCACTGTCATTGCTGGTTTTAAATGTAACTGTCGGCTCTTTTTACCCCCATTGTTTATTTCAATGGCGACCGAATGACAGCTCCTTCAGGGTTATAGAGTAAATGAAAAAAAAGCCGGAAGTTACATTTAAAACCAGCAATGACAGTGCAAGTGCAGCAGCCTGTCTGTATACATTGCTCTCCTCTTTCCCCTGACTTCACTAGCTACATGCTTGCTCTTATGCAGTGCCAAGCATTTGCAGTAGAAGGACAGCAATGGCAGCACATTTGTACATAGCACTTTGCTAAGGTAAACCGTTCTACACAGCTAAAGCGGTCTACTAAAGAATGCTTGGAAAGTGAGTTTATTTTTTTGTTATAAAAAAATATTCTTTATTACAAACGTTATATTTTCTGGCAGCTAGATATAGTCTTCCATCTACTTCCATTTAAAATCCTTTTATCTTATCCTGCAACCCACAATTCAAATTGCATTTCATATTTTTTCTGGGAAGTTGATAAGACTGCACTGCTGATCAATGGGAAGTATTAAATCAGCCCAGGAAGTAGATAGTATTACGCATGGCTTTCTGTGGAGCGCAGCACAGAGCTGTAATGCTGAAGACAAACATCTGGACAAATTTGAAACACCAGATGTCTAAAGTATTATCTGCATCACGCTGTGTCAGACCATGGTGAGAAGAATTAACCAGTTCATGGATTACTCACCATCCTTTTATGAAAGGTATTCATAATTCCCCATTTGTTATATTTATTAGTCTGTGGTTATACTCAAATAGAAAAGTGATGACTGATTTTTATGGTAAAATAACAGAACTGTACGTCCTACAAACTGCATAAGACATAATTATAGAGGTGGCATGGATTCCTTTGGGCCACAGACAAAAATCATAAACAATGGTCACATATGCACACATGAAGAAGACGCTAAATTAACTTCTTGGTACATATTTGTCAAAGATGTCAGTTTGAATCACAGTTTATTTCAATGTGTGGACCAGCCATGTTCAGTGCCAGGGTTATCGTGGAGAAATAACCATCTAGCCTTGAAGTTAAACCATACCAACTGTTATTCTCCCAAGATCCTTGCTGGATTTTGTTCTGTAATTGAATTAGGCAAGCAATGGTACACCAGCACTTGGAGCAGTTTTGGGTCCAGCGGGAGCAGAGCCGTGGATAAGGAGGTACCACCAGTCCTCCTGTATGGGGCCCAGGCCAGCAGGGGGGTCCAGGCAGCTGGGTGAATCGGATGTGGGCAAGAAGGGTGAATGGGGAAATTACTGGAACCAATCACCTGTATGGCTCTCCCTGCAGCAGCTGAAAGCTGGGTTCTTCTCCTCTCTCTCCCCCCCTTGGCTGGCTTTCAGCTGCTGCTGAGAGAAACATGCAGGGGATCGGTTCCAGTAATTTACCAGCCCCTTCTACTCCTGAAGGAACACAGTGAGTGATTGTCAATCACTGTGCTCATTCATAACTGAAGCACAATAAACTGTGTTTTTTGTGGGGATGGGTGGGGGGCCTGTTAGGTTGGCTGTATGTTGCCCTGTAGTTTGGGGGGGCCTGTCAGGTTGGCTGCAAGGGGCCCTGTGGTTTCTAACAGCAGCCCTGAGCGGGAGTGTATATCATGTAGATCTGTTTAGAGATTTGTGTCATGTGAACTATTAGGTATGTGCCAGTTAGCATGTAGGTGGTGTTGCAGAACCACGCAGGAAAGTCAAGTATACTAGGTAGGTTAACAATACAAATTCATCCCTGACCCTGCACAAGGTATACATGAGAAAGGTCATCGTTCCCAGTTCCTGTGATTGGCAAGCTCTGCCAGACTAAGTAGTCTGATTGGTTCTGCTGCCCTCAACTTTCCTGGCTGGCTTTATAACATACACACTGTCCAACACAGATTAAAGCTGATTTCCAGGTATGGCAAGTTCTACATTGGTCCAGCTTGGGTCATACCTGTGGGATCCCCGTGGAAGCTGGAAATCACTGTAGTAGGCACCATTGCTCCAGTGATCTCCACTAGCTTCCGGGTCACATGTCAAGTGGCTGTCCTATGGCATTGTGAACACAGGAGGTCTCTTGCTCAGCATGGGCACCATTCAAGGAGCACGTTCAATGAATGCAGGGCATTCTTTGATTGGACGAGGAGAAGAGTAATATAGTTACATAGTTAGTCTGGCTGAAAAAAGACAAAAGTCCATCCAGTTCAACCATTAAAAAAAAAAAGTTATAATCTTATACCTGCAGTTGATCCAGAGGAACCCAGCAAAGCATGATCCAATTTGCTCCTGCAGGGAAAAAAATTCCTTCCTGATCCTCCAAGAGGCATTTGGATATTCCCTGGATCAACAGTAATGACATAACAATCTGCAGTTTGTCCAATCACAGAAAACTTTACATTCATTGAGAGAATGCAAAGTCCTCCTTGAATAGTGCCCATTACAAGAGGGCGACCTCCTGTTTTCAGTAAGCAGCAGGGCAGCTGCTTGGGACAAGACCCAGAAGCTAGCGGTAATCACTGTAGTAGAAGTGAGTACAACAGTGATTTCCTGCTTCTCTGGGATCCCACTGGTATGGCACATGTGTAGTTTTTCATGGGCACTTCTCTTAATTCTACATGGATAGTCTTTGGTAGCTTCACTAATTGTATTATTCTCTGCAGTGCTGCCATTGTCTTTAACATGGTGGTACTAAAAGTGGGATTTGGGTGGGGTTTTTTTGCATAGCTCCAACTGTCCTGTACTGCAACTGTACATTTGGCAGATTGTTTATAGGGATACTTTAATGCAGAGCTTTTTTTTCTCAGAGAATAGGTGCAGATACTGCTTCCAAGTCACCCCTTTGTCTCCACCCTCTACCCACCTCTGAGCACTATCCTCTTCAGCAACAATCAATAGGCCCCCTCTAGCAACAGTACATCCATTCAGAAACAATAGGTCCACCCAGTAACAATAGACCACCAGCATCAAAATACCCCCCCCCCCAAGAACAATAGCACCTCCAATGGAACAATACAATAGGTCTAACAGAAGCCAGCATCAATAGACCCTCCAGCAGCGAGCAATAATAGAAAGCTCCCTCAACAGTAGATTCCCCCAGCAACATAAGATCCCTTTAACAAAAATAGATACCCCACTAGCATCAATAGACCTCCCCAGCAACAAAGAATCCCCCCAGTGTCAATAGATCCCCCAGCAACCAGCAACAGTAGACCCTCCAGCAGGGGCGGACTGACACCTCATGGGGCCCCCGGGCAATAGGGGATCATGGGGCCCCTGTGTCCTCACCCACACTTAAACCACACCCAAAAAAGCCTATGAAAAGTACCAGTGGCATCTCATGGGGCCCCCTACTGACCCCGGGGGCCCTCGGGCAGTGCTCGAGTTTCCAAATGGTCAGTCCGCCCCTGCCCTCCAGCAAACCCCAGCACCCTAATCAGTGCTGGAGGTGCCAGAACTGCGTTCCCCCACATTCCCACAAAAAAAAGCTCTACTTTAATGACATTATCAGGCAGATTATCATATGTTAGGGGAGATTAGTGGTACACTTATGTTATTCATTTTTGTGGATATTATATATCTGAATATTGTGTGCGCTGCTTTTCTCTTGTATCTTTGCCCAAAGCGCGGTTGCGCCAGTGTTTTATCAGGCAGACTGCACATAGCAATGATGTGCAGATAACAGGATGTGGCTGAAGGAGATAAGCATCAATGAGATGTAAAAAAGCATTTATGAAATGATGTTAGATCAACAGAAAACTGAAAGGTTAGAGTTTAAATCAAATTTAATGAAAAATAACATTCTTGGGCAATTTAAATTGCAGTTGTTTTCGCACTGTCAAATGTATATCTTGTGAACGATTGTATTCATGTACATTTATTTTTATATATTATTATTTATTTAACAATTTCATGCACAGATGAGCCATGTTTTTTGTATGTTGTATGTATATTGCCACTTAAGGAAATCAATGAATGAAAGGTATAGACATGGTATATGTTGCACTGAATCTTTTTTTATGGACTTCTCTTCAGGGAGCAGATCAGTGTATCAAATGTGCCCGTTACATTGATGATGACACTTGCGTCAGCACCTGTCCTCCTGCTTTCTACGATGGAAATACTGCCATATTTTCAAAATATCCCGATCAGAATGGACTATGTCAGCTCTGCAGCCCAGAATGCAAGACGGGGTGAGTTTAAAACTGTAGATTGTCATGAAAAATGCAGCTTCTGGATCTTCACAGGTCCTCATTGGTGACATGTTATTCATGCATAATGAATGTCTATACTATCACTATGCTATATTGCACAAATAAGGTCTTCATAGCAGAATATTTGGAGTTATATACATTATATTACAAAGCTGTTCATAACACTGCCCCAAACTACATCACCAACCTGATATCCATCTACCACTCAAAACGTACTTTCTGCTCCTCACAAGACCCCTACTCTCTAGTTCCCTGGTCTCCTCCTCCCCATGCCAGTCTCCAGGACTTCTCCAGGGCTTCCCCCATCCTCTGGAACTCACTACCCCAATCCATCAGACTGTCACCTACCCTCCTCACCTTTAGGCGCACCCTGAAAACCCATCTCTTCAGGGAAGCCTACCCTGCCCTCACCTAATTGCCGATCTCCTCCGCTCTTCCCACCACTCCATCCCCCACAGCTATTTTTTCCTGTACCACTCTCCCCTCCCTCCTAGATTGTAAGCTCCAAGGAGCAGGGCCCTCGAACCCCTCGTGTATTGTATTGTATTGTTACTGTGCTCTCTTGTGTACTGTCTTCCATTAAAATGTACAGTGCTGAGCAAACTATTGGCCCTATATAAATCCTGTATAATAATAATACTATTATTTGAATTTTAGTTCAAAAGATATAATTTACGTTTGAATCTGTGGATTTTGGAATGTAATTTTAATCTCGTCCCTAATTGATAATACATACATGGTTGTCAGAAATCTCAGTTTGTAAGTGTATTAAGAAATATTTTATCTTTTTTTTAAATGAGATATCAAAGTCCAAATCACAACTCTTGGCAGCAGTACATTTGCGTGTCCTGGGCACTGCTGCCCTCTGCTGACTGTTTTACAAAAAAAAAATTACAAGAATAAACCGTTTTTGCACAAATGAAGATCTTTTTGAATTAATTATTTTTTCACATGGATGATGTATTAGAATTTTTTGTTTTCTGCTCTTCAGTATATACTGTGGCTTTAAATGAAAACCAGATATTGAATATATGTGAGCTTTCAAACATTTAATGCAAATTTGAATAAGAAACCCTACACAGGGCTGCAACTTTGTGTGATGGGACCCCATAGCAGAATCATTAAGAAGACCCCTGTTTCTCTAACGTCCATCTCAAAGGAAATTTCTCTAGTGATAATAGAGATAATATAATAATAATATTTATAAACCATATAAATGCTGCGCTACATTCAAACTTATTAAGTGAATGTGGAATCCAATGACACAAATCCAATATAGTGACAATAATAATGAAATAAATAATACGTGCTTACTGATAACAAAATTATCAAATAAAACACCCAAAAAGATGAAAAAACACAAACTTAAATCTATACGCATGTGCATGAAAATACACATACATATAATTACATCACACGTGCAAATGTGAAGTGAAATAATGGTTACTTATTAAACGCAAACAAAAAGTCCAATATAAAAATGTTGAAGGTGAACAAAACTGTAAACGGTGTTTCCAATAATACTGTAAAGTGACCACAAGTGAAAACAAATCGTGCAGGTATCTGGGTGTAGATAGAGCTTGTGAATCCAACCACCTTCTGGATTAGCCTCTCACCTCATCACTTCGACCCTTGCGGATCAAAGAGCAATAATGGATCCCTCTCACAGATCCTCCAGGCACCACAGCACTCCAAAAACGCTTTTCAGGATTTAATATTCCCACTCAAGCTCTTTCCAGGTATAGGTGAAATATCAATCTCTCAGAACAAAACAGAGGAATCCTCCCATAGTGTAGTATATTTATTATACCATAGGAACATAGGAACATAAAACTTTTTGGTAAAAATTCCACTTACATAGCAGCCAGTCCACATGAGACCCTCATGCTCTCAGATGAGGATATATCTGTGTTTGTTGGGTGTACAGCTGAATAACAGTGCCCTGATGAAGTCACGTGTTATTGTGACGTAACGCGTCGGCGTAAGCGCGGTGACGTATTTCCGGCGTGGCGGCCATCTTGGTACACCTGTTATTCAGCTGTACACCCAACAAACACAGATATATCCTCATCTGAGAGCATGAGGGTCTCATGTGGACTGGCTGCTATGTAAGTGGAATTTTTACCAAAAAGTTTTATGTTCCTATGTTCCTATGGTATAATAAATATACTACACTATGGGAGGATTCCTCTGTTTTGTTCTGAGAGATTGATATTTCACCTATACCTGGAGAAGAGCTTGAGTGGGAATATTAAATCCTGAAAAGCGTTTTTGGAGTGCTGTGGTGCCTGGAGGATCTGTGAGAGGGATCCATTATTGCTCTTTGATCCGCAAGGGTCGAAGTGATGAGGTGAGAGGCTAATCCAGAAGGTGGTTGGATTCACAAGCTCTATCTACACCCAGATACCTGCACGATTTGTTTTCACTTGTGGTCACTTTACAGTATTATTGGAAACACCGTTTACAGTTTTGTTCACCTTCAACATTTTTATATTGGACTTTTTGTTTGCGTTTAATAAGTAACCATTATTTCACTTCACATTTGCACGTGTGATGTAATTATATGTATGTGTATTTTCATGCACATGCGTATAGATTTAAGTTTGTGTTTTTTCATCTTTTTGGGTGTTTTATTTGATAATTTTGTTATCAGTAAGCACGTATTATTTATTTCATTATTATTTACACTATATTGGATTTGTGTCATTGGATTCCACATTCACTTAATAAGTTTGAATGTAGCGCAGCATTTATATGGTTTATATTCACTTGATCACTGGTATATGATTTAATGCTAGCAGCTGTTTGGGGTTCATATATTTAATTTGTTTTAATTGTTTAAACACATTATTTGGAGCGCAGGAGGGTCTCACCACTATTAATAATAATATTTGCTTTCAAAGCAATTGTAAAGAAGTTCCCAAACTATATACATTCATTTTATGCAAATGTATTCACCAAATGTTATTGCTACCTGTATACCTGCCCTGGCCTTATGACATCTCTCTTGTGAAAGCTCTTCTAAGCAATTGAAATAACCTTTTCACTTTTTGCCCCTATGGACCATCAGTAATTCATTATTTTCAGGCATTTAATTTTTTCTACTTTCTATTTAACACTTTCGTAAAATTAGCTGATAAGAGCTGAAAATATGACAAATGATATCTTTTCTACTTTATAAATTATCATCAAATCAAGGTCAGCCACTTTCAGACCACGAGCATAGAAACTGCTGCTACTTCTGTTGTTTTTCCGTTGCTTTAAAATATTGTTGCAATAGAAATTATTAGCAAATCTAAAGTAATTTTAATTTGTTTCAACAGGTGCACAGGCCCAGGTGTCGAAGGTTGTAAACCTCCAGGGTAAGACTCTCAAATTATTTGTTTAAATACTGTAGTTCTGTTAGGTTTTTCTTACAAGCAGAGATGTTGTTAGTAGGGTTGCCACCTCATCCCTTTAAACCTGAACAGATATTAATTACACAGGCTTTGTGGCTGATTAAGTTATATGCAATGCCAAGCTGCGGTTTCTAAAGCGAGCAAAATCCTCTCTTGTATTAAAAGAGGTATAGACTCCAGAGAGAGAAATATCATATTACCCCTGTACAAATCATTAGTAACACCTCATCTGGAATATGCAGTTCAATTTTGGGCACCAATTCACAAAAAGAACATTGGGGAACTGGAGAAAGTACAGAGAAGGGCAACCAAACTGATACAAGGCATGGAGGAGCTCAGCTATGAGGAAAGATTAGAGGAACTGAATTTATTCTCTCTTGAGAAGAGGAGATTAAGGGGGGATATGATCAACATGTATAAATACATCAGTGGTTCATATAGTGAACTCGTGTGGAGCTATTCAGCCTGAGGTCACCACAGAGGACAAGGGTCACTCTTTATGTCTGGAGAAAAGAGATTTAATCTCCAAACATGGAAAGGTTTCACATCAGTGCTTGCAGTTCCAGTGCGTTCCGGATGCAAAAAAAAAGTAGAACAGGCTGCATTTTTCCTGCACAGAGCTGTACTGCGTTGTGGTAAAACGCATCAAAAATGCACCGGAACACACCAAAACGCACTGGAGTGCAAATGTCCCTTTTTAAATTGAGGAAAAAGAGGGAGAAAATTAACTGAAACGCATCAAAAATGCACCGAAACACATCAAAAACGTGCATGCAGAAACAAATCTGGAACTTATTTTCATAAAATAAATTTTATTAACTCTGCAAAAACTTTCATTGTTTGTAAAATAACTTTTTTTTTTTAGATCCAAAGTGGCATACATTGCTGCTGGGGTAATTGGTGGCATCCTTGCGGCTGTTATGCTAGGCCTTGTCGCATTCTTCTTCATCCGTAGAAATCGAATTAACAGAAAACGCACTCTACGCAGATTACTGCAAGAAAGAGAGGTAAATAGAAAGCAAAACTGCCTATATGACATTATTATACACGTGCACATTATTATTATTATTATTATACAGGATTTATATAGCGCCAATAGTTTGTTCAGTGCTTTACAATATAACAGGAGACAATACAGCAACAATACAGTTCAATACAAGAGGGAAAGGATTGTAAGCTCCTTGGAGCTTACAATCTAAGAGATTTTAATATAAGATAAAGAAATCAAATTGTTTACAGATTATATAAACATAGATATATGATTTGTTTATTGCAGGTATTTATATAGCACCATCAATTTATGCAGCGCTTTACATATATATTGTACATTCATATCTGTCCCTAACCCTCAAGGGGTGTAGTCTAATCCCTACCTTACATACACATATTAGGGCCAATTTAGACAGAAGCCAATTAACCTACTAGCATGTCTTTGGAATGAGTTAGGAAACCCACACAGGCACAGGGAGAACATGCAAACTCCAGGCAGGTGGTGCTTGGTTGGGATGTGAACGAGCGACCCTAGCATTGCTAGGCAGAAGTGCCAAGCAGTTTAGCCACTGTGCTGCCTGTCTAATTCAAACTGAAATTGACCACATACCTGCATTATGGTGCAACATAGGGACTCATGCATCTTTCTGCATTCTTCATTTAAAAATGTAATGAGAAATATATCAGGAAAATTATACCCCCTTAAAGTAGTCACAGTAGATGAATTAACCCTGAAATTCAGGATCAGATATATCTGCATGTGCCTTTATAAATCTTCAGTGTGCCACACAAGCTCCAAAACCTGGGATGTGCAATCATTCAAATCTTGACTTCAGACTGTCATCTGTAGCATACGTTCACCCCAGGGGCGGGCTGACTATTTGGAAACTCGGACACTGCCCGAGGGCCCGGGGTCAGTAGGGGCCCCCATGAGATGCCCCTGGTACCTTTTTCATAGGCTTTTTTGAGTTTGGGCAAGGACACAGGGGCCCCATGATCCCCTATTGCCCAGGGGCCCCATGAGTTGTCAGTCCGCCCCTGGTCCACCCTCACATCACTATTGGGTTTTTATTGTAAAGGGTCCCCCCACTGACTAATAATCAGACTTTCCTGTGTGCACATTTGATTTCCACTACACCCAGGCAGATATCTAAATGTAGGCTTGTTAGTCAATATGTTACAATATCCCATACACCATGCTAAAACTTTATATGATAAACTGGCTTGTGTCGTACTGAAATCAAAAAATAAGCAGCTGATTTAACAATAGTGTTTCAAATTCTAGCTTGTGGAACCTATCACACCAAGTGGTGAAGCACCTAACCAAGCACTCCTTCGAATTCTAAAAGAGACAGAGTTCAAGAAGATCAAGGTACTTGGATCCGGAGCATTTGGCACAGTATATCAGGTAACATCCTGTTTTTATATATATGTATTTATTTATTTCAGGTACTTATATAGAACTGTCAATTTATGCAGTGCTTTACATATATATTATACATTCACATCAGTCCCTAACCCTCAAGGGGTGTACAATCTAAGGTCCCTAAGTCACATTCATACATACACAGGCCAATTTAGACAGGATTCAATTAACCTACCAGCATGTCTTTGGAGTGTGGGAGGAAACCGGAGTACCCAGAGGAAACCCATGTAGGCACAGGGAGAAAATGCAAACTCCAGGCAGGTGGTGCCATGGCTGGGATTTGAACCAACAACCCTAGTACTGCCAGGTAGAAGTGCTAACCATTTAGCCACTGTGCTGACCATATATATAAATAATAACCCATAAAAAGTTCAAATGTGATAGTTCAATCAAAATATGAAATATAAATTAGAAAATATATATAAAGTGCTTGAAAGATGGAAAGATTTTTGATTTTTCACCATTCAAGCACTTTATTGATTTTTCACCATTCTCCATTCACTTTATATATAGTATTTTCTAATTTATATTTTTTTTGCCGTTCAAGCATTTATTGATTTTTCACCATTTAAGCACTTTATTGATTTTTCACCATTCAAGCACTTTATATATTTTCTAATTTAGATTTTTTTTTTTTGCCATTCAAGCACTTTATTGATTTTTCACCATTCAAGCACTTTATTGATTTTTCAACATTCAAGCACTTTATTGATTTTTCAACATTCAAGCACTTTATATATTTTCTAATTTTTTTTTTTTGCCATTCAAGCACTTTATTGATTTTTCACCATTCAAGCACTTTATTGATTTTTCACCATTCAAGCACTTTATATATTTTCTAATTTATATTTTTTTTTTGCCATTCAAGCACTTTATTGATTTTTCACCATTCAAGCACTTTATATCTTTTATCATTTATATTTCATATTTTGATTGAACTATCACATTTGAACTTTTTAAGCTATTATTTATATATGTTTTATGTTTTAAGTGTGGGATCACCTTTATTTACTGCATAGCTGTATTTTATTAGCTCATTCACAAGTTTGATAGCACACATTGTTTTATTTTATTTATGTTTTTATACATATATTTATAATATTTGATGATGAACTCACTGTTTTATACAGTAGGTTGGTACTCATCTAGCCAATGTACAGGTATGACAAGCATATTAAAAGAGACTATTTTTTTTATAAAGACATTTTTTTTTCAAAACACGTTACAGGCTAAAGAACTAGTCTGTCTAGTCCAGGGGTGGGCAAACTTTTTGACTTGAGGCCCGCAATGGGTTCATATATTGGACCCGGGGGCCGGACCAAGAGTAGATGAATGATGTATATGTGTCATCCATAGTAAGTATAGTAATATTCCCCCATAGTAAGCATAGTAATTAATCCCCCATATAGTAATTAATCCCCCATAGTAATTCATCCCCCATAGTAATTCGTCCCCCATATAGTAATTCGTTAGTAATTCATCCCCCATATAGCAATTCATCCCCCATTTAGTAATTCATCCCCCATAGTAATTCATCCCCCATAGTAATTCATCCCCCATAGTAATTCATCCCCCCATATAGTAATTCATCCCCCATATAGTAATTCATCCCCCATAGTAATTCATCCCCCATATAGTAATTCATCCCCCATTGTAATTCATCCCCCATAGTAATTCATCCCCCCATAGTAATTAATCCCCCATATAGTAATTCATCCCCCATAGTAATTCATCCCCCATATAGTAATTCATCCCCCATATAGTAATTCATCCCCCATATTAATTCATCCCCCATATAGTAATTCATCCCCCATAGTAATTCATCATAGTAATTCATCCCCCATATAGTAATTCATCCCCCATATTAATTCATCCCCCATATAGTAATTCATCCCCCATAGTAATTCATCCCCCATATAGTAATTCATCCCCCATATTAATTAATCCCCCATATAGTAATTCATCCCCCATAGTAATTAATCCCCCATATAGTAATTCATCCCCCATATAGTAATTCATCCCCATAGTAATTCATCCCCCATATACTAATTCATCCCCCATATAGTAATTCATCCCCCCTATAGTAATTCATTCCCCATGTCCCCCCTGTGTCAATTCACTTACCTTTGCTCCGCGCGTTCCTCTTGTTCCTGCGCCGTTCGGTGTAGCATGAAAATCTGTCTCCTATGAGGATCTGTCCCCCTCGACGTATCTGCGCATGTGCCAGTTTCAGGCATTAGCAGCCGATCGGCGATCTCCGGCACATGCGCAGATACGTCGAGGGGGGACAGATCCTCATAGGAAACAGGGCGGACTGTGAGAGGAGCCTAGCGGGACCCTAGCTCCGCGGGCCGGATTAAAAGGTCCGCCGGGCCGTATACGGTCCGCGGGCCATAGTTTGCCCATTGCTGGTCTAGTCCATACTTATTAAAGGTACTTATATCACCATCAATTTACTCAACGCTTTACATATATTGTACATTCATATTGTACATTATGCTGTCAAGAAGCTTACAAGGTCCCTAACTCACATTCATACACACATTAGGGCAATTTACACAGGAACAATTTACCTACCAGCATTTCTTTGGGGGATTGTTTCTGACCTAATCACTGCATAGCAGCCCAATTAAAAATATACTGTATTGCTTAAGGTAGCTATAGACATACAGTGGTGACTTTGCATGCAAAATCCAGCCACTGAAGATCAATAAATGAAAGACTGCCCTATAAGTATATGTGTTTTACAGTAGGGCAAATGTATATGACATTCCTATGTAGATAAAGTACTCTAGAGACACCAGATAGCAGCATCTTTTATGTAGACGTGTCAAGAAATACAATCCCCAACCTGCCCACATTATTTATTAGGCACCCTCCATTCCAATACTTATATTTACCACCACATAGATCCATGTCACAGTGGGATTTTATTTACTAAATGCAAATAGTGCACTGGGCAAAGTGCAGTTGCAATCTGCAAGAGCAGTTGCTCCAGAGCTTAATAAATGAGCAGAAGGTCTGCTGACTTCCATCATCCAATCATGTGTAAGCAAAAATGCTGTTGTTAATTTTCCTTGCACATGATTGGATATTCTTTGCAAAGCAAAGCTTTACCTCATTTACTAAGCTCTGGAGCAACTGCACTTGCAAAGTGCACAGTCTATTTGCCTTTAGTAAATCAACCCCTGTGCCTCCAAAATAATCAATAGTTGTTAACAATATCCATTATTATCAACAATTTTACACTGAAGAGCAATTTTCCTGGCCATATGTGATAGTGTTGGATTCTGGTGTATGCCCTATAAGGCCATAATTGTTACATATTGGAAAAATAGGTGTGTCATATGATCCTCTGGACCCCGAAGTACCAGACTTTTTCAAGAATGGTAAAATTGATCAAAGCAGGTGGGGGGCAAAGGTAAGCGTAGGTGCCAGAGAGTGCCTTAGCACAAGTTGGGTGGGAAGGGAGGTGGTAAACTGAAGATTTACTTTCTTAACAGGTTTTAGCGCTGGTTCACACCGATGCGGAATTCGCAGTGTTTTCTGTGCAAATTCTGCACTGCATCAGAATCGCACCCCGTTAATGCGAACTGCCTCAGGTGTGTATGTTAAGTTAACAACACATCGAAAGCGGTCCACAAAACGCGGTGCGATGTGCAGAATTGGACTTCATAGGTGTGAATACCCATGCAATCCGATTCTAGTGCGGACCAAAAAAGGGTCCTGCACATTTTTGGTGCGGGTGCAGTGCGATTTGAGTCATATAAAATGTATGACTCCAATCACACCGCACACAAATCGCATGTGATTTGCACAGAATGCTGCGAATCACATGCGATATACCGCATTGCATATATGTGAGCCCAGGCTCAATGCTAGGAAAATGAAAAATGGTTTTTGACAACATTTTTGCTTCAGTTCTCCTAAATCAAATGTTTACACAAGATGTATTTTTTTTTCAAGATAAAATGTATAGTTCCATTATTAGCAAATGTATAATTTGTTACCATTACTAATAAATTGTATGTGTGTAATCAGGGACTCTGGATTCCTGAAGGAGAAAGCATAAAAATCCCTGTAGCTATCAAAGAATTACGGGAGGCCACATCACCAAAAGCCAACAAGGAAATCTTGGATGTAAGTACCTTAGTAGTCATGGTGGCCATTTTGACCAAACATTTTCTGTGCTCCAAATATTAAGCTTTGTAATAAAATCAAGTTCAGTTCTTCTTATTATTCAAATCATATAGCTATTCCCTTTATTAATTGATTTAAACTTAGTTAAACAATGTTATTCTTTCATAAGCCTTCTGGTTTGATGACAAATTAAACAAGTTGCAGTTCCCACATGTAGCTTTTGGTAACCACAATTCCCAGATTCCCATAGGCCTTTTTGGGAAGGGCATTTTTCAGTGAATTGCGACCAAATTCCAGGCATACTTTCATTAGATCACAATGTACCTTCGCCATTTCCAAGGTAAACAGTTGCAGACAAGAGTTTTGTTCATATTTCTGAAGATCGGAGTGGCAAGGGTGCAAAAGCAATGTTTTCAGTGGAAGGTTAGATGGCTTTATTCCATACAATACGTCAAGCCTGCTATACAATACTGTGGAAAATGAATACTTCTTTGTTTGCAGTGTAATAACATGCAGATTCAGAAACACATGTATTCTACAGGGGTTTTTTTATTTGCTTTATAGCAATTGTTAGCTACAATATACAACACATTATTTTTAATAAATTGGTAGACTGAATGTTGTCATTCACCATGTTGTAATTCATTTAAAAGTAAAGCATAATCTTTTCTATTTTTTATTTTAGATATATATATGTGAATGTTAAAGAAACTAACCTTAGGGTCCTTTCACACGAGCGTTCGTTTTTTTTTCTTCAGTTCAGTCACGTTGAGTTTACATCCATTTTTTCATCTGTTTACATCCATTTTATCATCCATTTTTAGTCATCAGCTGTCAGCGGAGTTCCCCACTGACAGCTGAATGTAAAAAAAAAAATTGCTGCCAGTTAAAAAATAATGTAAAAAATGGCGTGGGGTCCCCCCTCTATCCATACCAAGCCCATCGGATCTGGGTTGGATTTTTAGGGGAACCCCCATGCCAAAATTAAAAAAAATGGTGTGGGGTCCCCCCCAAAATCCGTACCAGATCCTTATCCGAGCATGCAGCCTGGCAGGTCAGGAAAAGGGGGGATGAGCAAGTGCCCCCCCCCCCTCCTGAACCATACCAGGCCACGCTCCCCCCTTTCCTAACCTGCCGGGCTGCATACAATCCATTGACATCCGTTTTTTGTCCGTTCCGGGGTTTTTTGGGAAGAAAATAGGGTTTTCTTCCGTTCAAAGAAATAGATGTTAACGGATGCGGACATTGACAGATGTAAAAAGATGTTCATCCGTTTACACGCGCAAGTCCATAGAAATACATGGGGGTCCGTTTTTCATCCAGCTATTGAGCAGTCTGACGGCTCCCAGTGCCACTGACAGATCCGGCCTGAGCTCTGAGCCTGCTCAGCAAGACAGCCTTGGTGGACAAACTCGCCCCCACCATAATTTTCACTTGCCATTGGCGAGCAAGCGAGTGAAAATTTCAAGCCCTGCCATAGTGTGTACCAGGTACTACACTCATAGGAAAAATGTAGATAGGCAAAAGATGAAGAGTTCACTTTATTCTGCTAAATTAGGTAATGGCAGTAAACACAAAAAAAAAACCAATTAAAATATAAATACATGTATTTAACTCTCTGGGACATTAGGACATCAGCCCAGGATTAAACAATATGTGTTCTAGTTTTTTGGGACAATGTAACCCCGTGATAGGATGTTTGTTTTGGGCCCTCCTAATGTAGCCATAAATGGATCCACACTAAATTTGATTTTGCAATTGTTTAGCTATATGTCATAATGCTTATTATAGGGTATTGTGCAAAGAATCATTAGCATTGTACCGCATGTGTTGGAAAGAGCTATAGAACAGGAAGACTGTTGTACACATTCAAACAAGTGTTGGAAGATGTTTCTTAGGAATGCAGCCTGGTGCCAGCCCTGCCTTGAGTTTTGCAGATGTCTGAGTGTTATGCAAACAATTCATGGTTGCAGGACCATTGCCAAGAGATCAGTGGCACCACATCTAGTAAAAGCTGTAGAGAGCCCCTGTCAAATAGTATCAAAATATAGTGATTGTATAAATGTTACTTGTCATATTTAGCATATCCCACTTGTTGAGAAAATACAGAATAGATGTTGCGAGTAAACCGAATTACGATAGATGAAACTTAAGCAACAATGTCTTCACGTGCCAAATTTTAACGTTTCTGTGAAATATGCAACGCCTGTAAATGTGTTTTTGGTAAATTATTGTGCTTGGTAAATGTCAGGTTTCCTCTAGGCTTTTTGAGCTACCAGCAAAAACATTTGGTGAAATTAGGGAGCAGATCTTTTTCACCATGTGCCTACTTAACAGTAAATTGTCTGATTTTGACTTTGACACTTTTACTCTAATTTGTGAAAGAGAATGTTTAAATCTATGTGTTTGGGCTTTTTCATGCTTTATAGTTGTCAAATAAAAAGCTTTTTGTGCCTGAAGTTAAAACAGCTTTTTTGCTCTTAGCAATTAGTTTCCTATTTTCATTTCTCTTGTGCATGAAAAAGTGGGGTTAATGGCTAAGACATGATTTCCTTCAGACTCAAAAAGTGATACATTGGACCATTTTAACAAAAAAGCAAAAAGGAAAGCTGAAGGGGTACAGGCGTACCTCGGTTTACGAATTTAATGAGTTCTGAGGGACTTTTCGTATTGCGAAAAATTTGTAAACCGAAACGCGGTTTCTCATAGGAATGCATTGAAAACCAATTAATCCATTCCAGAGGTCAGAAAAAAGTTTAAAAAAGTCTTTTATCTGTTCAAAACTCTTTATATAGTGTACTTAAAGGCATAAATACTGTACAGGGACAAGATTAAAAACTAATTCGTAAATTAGTCTGTCTGTATTGCAAAATAAAATCGTAAATGCATTGAAAACCAATTAATCCATTCCGGAGGTCAGAAAAAAGTAAAAAAAAGTTTAAAAAACATCTTTTATCTGTTCAAAACTCTTTATTAAGTGCACTTTAAAGACATAGTACTGTACAGAGACATGATTTAAAAAAAAAAATTGTAAATGCATTGAAAACCAAATAATGCATTCGTATTGCAAAAATAAATCATAAACTGAGGCATTATTTTCAATGGATTTTCATTCGTAAACCAAACATTATGTTAACCGAGGCTTGCCTAAACCGAGGTACACCTGTAGTTCTAATAAATATACATGTTTAAAGTTATTGATTAAAAAAAATTTAATTTTGTAACTATCTAGCGGAAGGATTAGAACCCCTATCAGATTTTTTTTGCTATCCACGTTCCCACCCTGGAGATTTACTATCTCTGTTTGTCCTGGTGAACCACCCATTGAGGAAGACTTTTCATTTCCTGTCTGTCTCCAGGACATAAAGAGAAGGCAAATATCCCAAGGGCACTGACAAAAAAAATTAAAGGTACAAAATGTGTTATCTGAGACAAAAAAAAAGGAAGAAAAAAAAATACATTACATATATTTTCACATACCGCTGGAAAAATTATTTAAATCTTAATAGACTCCTGAAATCACCTGCAGATCTTCACTCAAATTTAAGAAGGGGGGTAAAATACTATCCATCAAACACCTACTTCATAGTCCAATCAAAGACTAGGTAGGTTCCTACACGTGGCTAAATTGCACAGCTGCAGGATAGACGGCAGGGAGGACACAGAATACTGGACCAGGTGCCTAGATCTTTGTTGAGTTCGTGATTCATATAGAACACCGACAACTTTATTTAACCACTTGCCCTTCAGATGATTTTTCCTGACCAGGCCATTTTTTGCAATACGACACTGGTTTACTTTAACTGACAATTTCGCAGTTATGTAACACTGCACCCAAATAAAATGTACTTCCTTTTTTCCCACGAATTGAGCTTTTTTCAGTGGTATTTGATCGCCTGCGCATTTTTTATTTCTTACACTATAAAAAAAGACTTACAATTTTGAAAAAACAAACAATATTTTTGACTTTTTGCTATTATACACGTCCAGTAAAAAAAATTTAAAAAAATCTAATTTTGTCCTAAATGTTGGCCAAAATGTATTCTGCTACATGACATTGCTAAAAAAAAATCCCAATGCATGTAAATGAATTGGTTTACGTGAAAGTTATAGCGTTATATATACTGGAAACATTTTTATTTGTTTTTTTACTAGTAATGGTGGCAATCAGCAACTTATATCTGGACTGCGGCGGGCAATCTGACACTGGGGGGAACTGAATTGGTGTCACTGACATCCCCAGTGACACTAATACAGTGATCAATGTTAAAAAATGCACTGACACTGTACTAATGGCACTGGGCAGGAAGGGCTTAACATGAGGGGTGATCAAAGGGTTAACTGTGTGCTGTTTTACTTGTGTCTGTGTGTGTGTTTCACTGTAATCACACTGCTTTGGATGGCTGCGCTATGCAAGCCATCCAAAGCAGTGTGCATGAGCTGACAGGGAGGAGAACTGTATTGTTTACAAACAGTTCTCCTCCCTGTTGGTGATGCTCAGCAATCACCGGGCAGCGGCGAGTAATCACCGACCGGGACCAAGTGATTGACAGACGCGGATCGGGTAGGACGCGTGCACGCCTCATGCGTGCCTTGTGCACCCCCCTACCCGGAAATGCAAAATCTCTGCTATAGGGCGGTCGGGAAGTGGTTAATAATGAAACAAGAAAGGTAGCTAGAGAACATGATCAAAGAATATGTAAATTCAACATTTCATATTCCTGATATGTGCCTGCTGTACCATGTACTTGTATGAAAATGTATCCTGTTCTCTTTGCATTGCTTCCTTTGTGTGAAATCCCGGGTGCTCTTGTCAGTCCCTCTTGCTATCCTTTTAAAAACCAACAACATTAGGCATGACAGCACAGAGTAGTCAGTTTTCTGGCTGTGCTGAGAACTCAGCTTGCTCTTCTCCAATAGTCAAACTTCTGCTCACACTCCCCCACTGCATAGCCATTCACTGGGAAGTTCAGTGTCCTGCAGTTTATCCTCCTCCAGCTCTCTGAGCTCCTTATGCAGCTGACAATAGAGGATTTGTGATCATTTATAAAAAAAAGGGGGGGGGAATGGTATTTTAATATTTTTTTTATATCTATACACAAATGTTTTGCTTCACCAAGATAAGGGTTTACATATATTGTAACACTACTAATTGATTTCTGCGAGTAACAGCACTTTATACATTGCATTTTGTTTTATTAGATAAGATTCATATAGCAAGACCATGTAAAAAGTGTCAATTTTGGTAACAATATTAGTTCAAATGTTATTAACATTTTTCATTTTGCCCTGCTTCTTCACTTTAGGAAGCATACGTCATGGCCAGCGTGGAGAACCCACACGTCTGCCGTTTGCTTGGTATCTGTCTGACCTCCACTGTCCAGCTAATCACACAGTTAATGCCGTATGGCTGTCTTCTCGACTATATTCGGGAGCATAAAGACAACATTGGTTCAAGACATCTCCTTAACTGGTGTGTGCAGATTGCTAAGGTAGGAGCAATTCAGTCACTTTAAATTAACAGAATGTTCTTTCATCACTATCAGCAGTATGATACTTATAAATGATCCATTTCCATATACCTTTATACAAAGGAAGTCTTTTAAAATGTATGTAAATGCTTACATTGAGAACTACCTGGGAGGATTTAGGTGAGCAGCAATCAGCTGAGTAACTGTGACATCTAATAATGACTTGAAGCAACTCTGTTACTGATCCTGATAAATGCAAAGAAGAGCCCCAAGCAATGGAAGAATATGAATAACTATCTCTTCAAAGGGGCAGAGTTCCAAGCACCTTTGTTTCCCAACACTGAAGCCTCTGGCAAAGTCTTCCGCTTTTGACATTTTTAGCGGTGCAACCAGCTGTGCTTTGTGACTCCTTCCTCCACCCCCAGAGTCACTACAGGACATAGGAGCAGGCAGGAGGAAACAGAGCATGCAGGGGGAGCATATGTATTCAACACTCCTATAAATATCAAATGTTGAAGACTTGTCAAAGTGTACTTTAATACTTTCCTTACATGACCTGTCCAATCTGGAAATCTACATCAGAACTGATCTACAATATTTCTTCTTAATTCAGTTCTACTCTACATGTTACCAATTGTACTTGCAATTCCAAAGTGCAACCCTTATTTCCATCATGTTGACAAGCAAAGAATTAGCATGTGCTTTGGAAAAAAAAAACCCTGAAAAATTAATAAACCTGACGCTAATGACTGCATTAAGTCTTAACAAAGGCTAGCTGATTCGAGTTTGCAATAACTTGGCAGGGTAAATAATTTATGGTGTTCCCATGTATATTTTTTAAAGGGGATGAATTACCTTGAAGAAAGGAGATTGGTCCACAGAGATTTGGCTGCCAGGAATGTCCTTGTTAAAAATCCACAACATGTTAAGATCACAGATTTTGGGTTGGCCAAACTTTTGGGAGCAGACGAGAAAGAATACCATGCAGAAGGAGGAAAGGTACGTTTAAACAAAGGTTACTTTTTTAACAAATTTGAGAAATTGCAGTTATCTGAAACAGTAAATGTATTTATATTTTTTATGCTATTAGCTTTGTTCTTTTAAAAAGTTTCAAAGCAATTCATATATTAGGTCATACATACTGTAGGCATTATACAAATGAATCATGGTAGCTGAGCTGTACATAGTGTTGAGTCCAGTATTAACAACCTAGTCATCTATATCGAGTTTTTCCTGTAGAAAGAAATATAGTCTACTAATTCTAAAACAACCCCTTAAATTGTTGAATAAAAAGGAAGTACTACGAGGTTTCTTACCACCATAAATAAGATGTAAAGCCGCCTTAGAGATTAGAATATGACTGGTGATGCAGCAAGCAGAAAGAGACTAAACTACACAGCATAGTGAATGAAAAAATTATGCTGCGTTACCTGATCAAAAAGACCCCTAAATAATGATGAATCAAAGTAAAATAGGTGCAAATGAAATAAATAAAAGCACAAAAAAACTCATGATAAAATGAGTGAGCAAGAAAATGAATGAATTAAGTGAACACAGAATGATAAATAAATCACATGACACATGAAAACTGATCGTGATCCAAAATTTTAAAAATATATATATAATGATAAACAAGTAGTAAAAATAATTTTGTAAAGCGCTGCGCAAACTGTTGGCGCTATATAAATCCTGTATAATATAATAATAATAATGGATCACTCAAAAACACCCCCAAAAGACAGTAATGATACGTGAACAACAATGAGTAAATGGGTAACATAAAGATCATAAATACATGAAGAATATAAGAGTTAATGTGAAAAATGCCATTATAAAGTGCATAGTCCCAATGAATCTGTGTATCTTCAAAAGAAGCCGTGGAACATCCAGTGACCACAAAAAACACAGCAAATCCTCCACCAGCTAGCGTGTGTGCTCACCTCCAGGTTGCGACCCGTAAACTACAGAGCATAACATTGGGGTTCAGGAAGTACACTGCTACTGACCATGTTAGATTCTCTGTGAAATCTCCAAAGACATGCTGGTAGGTTAATTGGATCCTGTCTAAATTGGCCCTAGTATGTGTATACATGAATGTGAGTTAGGGACTTTAGATTGTGCGCCCCTTGAGGGTTAGGGACTGATGTGAATGTACAATATATATGTAAAGTGCTGTGTAAATTGACAGCGCTATATAAGTACCTGAAAGAAATACATACATAAAATATGTCTGGTTGTAAGAGATTACAAAAAATGTAGGCTAATGCAAATTGTATGCACTTCCTGATATTTCTATAACTACCAACATGGCTAGTATGTATCCGTTGCTTAGTGATCACTTTTATTTAGTAAGGCCCCATGTACACGGGACACTTCTGAACGATGGAAACTGCTGAAAAATGAAGGTTAATAAAAGTCCGTTTAGCTGAGTTTGCATACCGCGTTTATGCACGTTTGCATTGTTTTTTAAAGATAACATCAGGAGACCTTCCAAAATGCCCAGAATGCACTGAAAAACAGTAAAAATTTAACTTTCAGACATTTTGAGAGAAATAGAGAGAGCAGAAGCAGAGAGAGCCATATTTGTTGAGAATAGCTGTCTTTTCTTTTTCTTTTGTGGTGTTTGGATGTATTCCAGCTCATTTCTCTGCAGAAATTATTGCAGCAGTGTCTAACATATTTTCTTTCATGCAAAACCTCAAAGTATGGTGTGATGGGTCCCTTTGAGTACCGAGAAAAAAATACTTTGAATGCATTTTTCATGATGAAAAAAGGCTCTGGACAGCATCTGGAAATGGAAGAGTTTAAAAAAGTTTCAAACGCAAACGCCTATAAATGCGGTTAGCCGCATTTAGCCGTGTTTACAAGCATTTTGCGTTTGAAACGCTGATAAACTCTACTGCTGAACGCAAGTTTTCTGCTTTAAAAAAAAAACGACTGTAAACTCAACTGCCTGTAAACAACTGTAAACAATGATGTGTACATGGACACATAAGAAAACATTAGGGTGAGTTCAGGGGCTGCTGAAAAAAACACTGAACAGCTCCTAAACGTGAGTTTATCAGCTGCAGTGTACATGAGCCCTAAGGGCTGCTCTTATATATTTTAGGTTTATTACTTCGGTCAGCAGCATAAACTTGAATATGGCTGTAAACAGGTGGTACTTTTTTTCTCTCATTAGGTTCCTATTAAATGGATGGCGTTGGAGTCCATTTTGCACAGAATATATACCCATCAAAGTGATGTTTGGAGTTACGGTAAGGGCAATTTTAAGACATTATATACTTTAATTTTGTTCCATAATTCAGTTCTTTAGATACATTTATTGCTTGTTGGAATTTCTTTACAGGTGTCACTGTATGGGAACTAATGACTTTTGGATCTAAACCATATGATGGAATTCCAGCTAGCGAAATTTCAACCATTTTAGAAAAAGGGGAACGTCTTCCTCAGCCTCCCATATGTACAATCGATGTGTATATGATTATGGTGAAATGTAAGTTTATAATATAAGGATTCAGAGGCTTTGAGAAATGTTCATTTTTGTGGATGAACTAATGGTATAACAATTTTTCTAGTACATTTTAATTGATACTTTGTACAGAATGACTTACAAAGTACTGTATAATGTATTTTACTGTATATGTCATTTAATATAAGCAGTAGATTAGTCTTCTGTAATATACGGCAGACATATAAAACAAGATTATAGACAGGCATCCTCTGTGTAAACATTCCCTAACAAAGAAATGGTTCAGTACAGACATGCATTCTTTAACCTTTTTGCTTCTTTTGGATTAAATTTGAATATAAATGAGTAGTCTATATGCAGCTGTTGTGGTTATATGTGCAATCATATAGTAATCAGGGAGGCTTAAAGGCAAACTTCGAGATTATTATTATTATTATTATTATACAGTATTTATAAAGCGCCAATAGTTCGCTCAGCGCTGTTCATTACAGAGGGGGACAGAACATGTGACAGAACAATACCAATACAATGCAAAACATGAGGGGATTGAGGGCCCTGCTCTTTCGAGCTTACAATCTAGGAGGGAGGGGATGGTGGCACAGGAGGAGAAAGCTGTGGGGGATGGGGTGGTAGGAAGAGTGGAGGAGGTCAGCAAGTTAGCAGGGGGTGGGGTAGGCTTCCCTGAAGAGATGGGTTTTCAGGGTGCGCCTAAAGGAGAGGAGAGTAGGTGATAATCTGATGGGTTGGGGCAGGGAGTTCCAGAGGATGGGTGACACCCTGGAGAAGTCCTGGAGGCGGGCATGGGAGGAGGAGATCAGGGAACTAGAGAGAAGGAGGTCTTGTGAGGAGCGGAGTGTGCGTGTTGGGCGGTACTTGGATATTAGGTCAGTGATGTAGTTCGGGGCAGTGTGGTGGACGGCTTTGTACGTCAGCGTTAGGATTTTGAATTTGATCCGTTGCGCAATCGGAAGCCAGTGGAGGGATTGGCAGAGGGGGGTGGCGGAGACGGAGCGGTTGGAAAGGCGAATGAGTCTGGAAGTCGTATTCAGGATCGACTGAAGTGGGGATAGCCAGCGGCGAGGCAGGCCAGTGAGGAGGGAGTTGCAGTAGTCGAGTCGTGATATGATGAGAGAGTGGATGAGCTGTTTAGTGGTTTCTGGAGTTAGGAACGTGCGGATTTTGCCGATGTTGCGGAGGTGGAGTCTGCATGAGTTTGTTAAAGATTGGACTTGGGGCTGGAAGGATAGGTTGGAGTCCAGAATGACACCAAGTACTCTGGCCTGCGGGGCGGGTTTGATGGTAACGTTGTTGGATGTGATAGAGAAGTCAATGGGGGGTGGTGTCCGGGCTGGGGGGGGAAAGACAAGAAACTCAGCTTTGGAGTGGTTCAGTTTAAGGAAGTGGAGCGACATCCAGTCTGAGAGATAAGCAAATATTGTTTAAATACAAGAATCCTGTGTATCCTTCCATGAACCTCAGTGTACTTTGTGTATTTCTTCTAGATCTGTGCAGTAATCCAGCATGACACTTTGCTTCTGTGTAGGACCTTCCTGTAATAAGGACCAGTCACATCTGTTCTCTCTTCTTATGCAAAGTGACTGGTCTTGTGTCCATCCCCTGTATTTTTTTTCTACAAACAGCCTGTAGTGAGAGGACTTGCTGGGTCTCTCCCAGTAGTGTTAATTTTGTTGACTAAAATATTTCTGTCAATGAAATTAAGTATAATTCGATAAATTATAGTTAAATAACTAAAATTCGACTAAAACTAAAAATTCAGATGACTAAAATACTACTAAAACTAAAATGGCGATTTCTTTAAAAGACTATGACTAAAACTAAATCGAAATGTGACGTCAAAATTAGAACTGTTTCCTAGAGCTCTGTTCTCTGCACAGGTCATGGATTTGGAAAGGCATTTGGTGCACACAAAGTGGATTTAATGGCTATTGAACAATATATTTAACCACTTGCCTGCCGCCCCATAACAGATGAACTGCTACAGGGCGGCTTCGCTGGGCAAAATCACGTAGATATACATGATTTCGCATTTCCAGGTAGCCCTACCCATGCTGCTATTGGCTCCTGAGGATGTCAATAACTGGGACCTGGCCAGCAATTTTTGGTAATCGTTGGCAAAGCTGAGAGGGGAGAGATTTAGGTGCGGACTGACAACTCATGGGGTCCCCGGGCAATAGGGGATCATGGGGCCCCTGTGTCCTTGCCCAAACTCAAAAAAGCCTATGAAAAAGGTACCAGGGCATCTCATAGGGCCCCCTACTGACCCCGGGTCCTCGGGCGGTGCCCGAGTTTCCAAATGGTCAGTCCGCCCCTGGAGAGATCTGTGTGTAAACAACACAGATCTCTCTCCTGTCAGCATGGACATGCTGCTTTCTATCTCTCTGCACAGCAGAGAGATAGAAAGCAGCAGGTCTGCTTAGTAAAACACAACACAGTACACAATAAAAACACTCCCTAACACACAGTTAACCCTTTGATCATCTCAGATGTGAATTCCTTCCGACCCAGTGTCATTAGTACAGCGTCAGTGCTTTTTATTAGCACTGATCACTGTATTCGTATCAGATGACAATTGCAGTTAGTCAGTTCCCACCCAGTGTCAGATTGCCCGCTGCAGTCCCACAGTTCTGCTATAAGTGCCTGTTCGCCACCATTACTACTATAAATAAATGAATAAATAAATAAAAATTCCAGTATATATATCGCCATTTGTAGGCGCTATGTATTTCACGGAAACCAACTGATATACACTTTTTGGGATTTTTTGTAGCTAAGACATGTAGCAGAATACATTTTGACCTAAATTTATGATGAAATTTTATTTAAAAACATTTTTTCATTGGATATGTTATATAACAAAAAGTCAAAAATATTGTTGTTTTTCAAAATTGTTGGCCTTTTTTTGTTCACAGCGCAGAGGTAAAAAAAAAGATGCAGCTCTATTTGTGGGGAAAAAAGGACATAAATTTTTATTTATGTACAGCGTTGCATGACTGCACAATTGTCAGTTAAATTAATGCAGCACCGGATCGCTAAAAATGGCCTGGTCAGATAGGGGGGTAAATCTTCTGGAGGGCAAGTGGTTAAATTTAAATAATTGTGTTAGCAGTTCAGCCTTAACTATTTTTGTCCTACAGACATATAGTTGCAAATGCAAACACTAAAACCTCATGTAATCTTTAACATATTAATGTAATTTTAAAAGTAATTTTCAGTATTTTTATAGCCACGTGGTGATCCTTCCATTCCATCACTTACTTGCTTTTGGATGAGAAAGTGAAGGGATCTGTCCCCAATAGAACACAGACAGCAAAAAAAATAACATGTTTTAGCCATTTCCTATTCCATTCAAAACCAAAAATGTTTTGGCTTTAGATATACAGTCATTTTATTGCATGTGACTTATGTATTGTATGTTGAATATATAGGCATCATATTTATAACATCTTCTTTTTGACATTATAGGTTGGATGATAGATGCAGAGAGTCGCCCCAAGTTCCGTGAGTTAAGTGCAGAGTTTACCAAGATGGCTCGTGATCCATCTCGTTACCTTGTTATACAGGTAAGTTGTTTAATATAAATCTCAATGAGCCTTTTTATCAACATATCTGAAGGAAACATTTTTCTATTGCCCCATACCACGTAAGGAGATTTAATGTGCCAAGACATTTTTGCATGGAGTTCTGCTTAAAACGTTCAGATCTCAACTGTCATTTTCAAAGTCTGTTTCCAAAACTGTGATTATATAAATAACATGACCAGCCTGAAGTCCGCTGACCATACATGTACAGTAAATGGGGGAACAATTGTAGTAACAAACAATAAAGGGGACCAGTAGAAATGAAGGTACTGTAAGAGGAGAGAGTCCCAATACGAACTTGGCACTTAGGTCTCTACATCTCTTCATACACCCCTTCAACTTTGGGTGCATTGTCTCACCAAGAGATATGGAATCATTCAATCTAAAATGCTTTTCAAATACAAAGTATTTAACTTGATGGATATTTTGCGATACATAAATTGCATAATATGCTTTTTTGCAGGGAGATGATAGAATGCACTTACCCAGCCCTGTGGAATCCAAGTTTCATCGAGCATTAGAGGATGACATGGGAGATATTGTTGATGCTGAAGAATATCTGATCCCACATCAAGGATTCTTTAGTAGTCCTTCAACATCGCGGACTCCACTGCTGAGTACTATGGTACATATGCAGATTTTTTTTTTTTCAATTTAGCTTTTGCAAACAGTATTCAAAAGAGGTTATACTGACTGTAAGGCATATACAGTATGAGCTCTGTTATTTACATAATCATTGTACCAAAACTGTGGATTCACACATGTGTGGTGCAATTGAAGCTTTGTTTTCACAGCTATTTGTTCAGCAGTTCAGGTCAGGTTTAGATCAGGATCAAACCTGAAATCGTGTTCATAAACTCATGACGTGTGATTCAGAAGCAGTTTCCATAGAGGTCAATGAGCCTGTAATACGCACCTGAATCGGATAGCACTGCTCATAAATTGTACAGGCTCTTAATCCGCACTGAATCCGTACTGCCAGTGTACCAGATGTATGTGAACAGGCACCATAGGAAGCAATGTTATTTCACATGTCGATTGGATGCGTTTCAAACCACATCCACTTCGTATATATGTGAACTGGCTTTCAATGTTCCAGTGCAGAAACTCATAGCAGTCAGCCAAAATCCATCTTTCACTGATCTGCTTTTTGAAAGGAGACTACTACTATACTTAAACAAAATAGTACATAACACGGACTCTGTATTGAAAAGGAATGTATGGGTTGCCTGCTTTGACTTTAGTGGAAAGCCTTCTGTATTCATTTTGAGCACCATTCACTTGCAAGAAATGTAAAAACATAGGAATCTCCCTTCTATTCCCATCTATTGGATGACTACAGTGAATGCAGTTTATTTAAGATAAGATTGCCAGTTTTCAGAGGACTTCTTTATGAAGACGTATCATTTAAATTAATTTGCTGATATAATTTTTGCTTCAATGTAATCATATTCATTTTGTATTACCTTTTAGAGTTCTACAACCAGCAACAATTCACCTAATGTATGCCTCACTCGAAATGGGGTACGTTTGTACAAATAATTAAACCCTTATTTACATGTTGTATATATTTGCAATGTGTTGAAAGTATAAACATCATTTAGATTGACCCCAACACTAGTACATTAGAAATTACTTCATAAGGGTGGCCAGCTTGAGTTAATATTTGGTTTCAAATGCCATAAAGTGTTTAGATAAAATAGGGAAGGGTTAAAACCCCTATCAGGTTAATCTTTCCTGCCTGTGTCCCTTTATGGAGATCTTATTTCACTTTCTATCTTAAAGACACAACAGGAAAGATATTTCTTCAAACAATGGTAATTTTCCTCTTAGGCTGTTGTAACCAAAACAGGTGTTCACAATGGAAGATTTACCTTCACATTTTGTTCTGGTAACAACGCTAACATTAAAGACTTCCCCTAATTATTTTCTTGATAACAGTGGTCAAAAGGCAAAAGACAGGTGAATCTCCTTAGCAGGGACACAGACTGCAACAGAAACTTGACAGAGACTTGACAGCCTAACATTTCCCTACTCTGTCCAAAATTTAAAAATAGAAAGATGTTTTCCTTTTACAAACTTTTTAATACCTCTTCCATTATGGTCATTAACTTTTTATTTAGTAAAGACTGAGGATATTTGTGTTAAAACATATTTATCCGTATGCTGAAGAGAGTGGAGTGAAAGCATAAAATAAAGGTGTGCCTACATATACTTTTATATACCTTCCAGAGCAGGGGCGGACTGACCATTCGAGCATTCGGGCACTGCCCGAGGGCCAGGGGTCAGTAGGGGGCCCCATGAAATGCCCCTGATACCTTTTTTATAGGCTTTTTTGAGTGTGGGCAAGGACACAGGGGCCCTATGAACCCCTATTGCCTGGGGGCCCCATGAGTTGTCAGTCCACCCCGTTCCAGAGTCTTCAAGGAGACCTGTAACCACCATGAAATAAATATAGACGCTACATCTCCAAAATAGAAAGTACGGCGTGCCCCAGTCCCTGTATGTCTCCTGGGTTCTGGGATATATGGACATCTCCCTAAGGTTAATAAAAGGCATGTACAGACATCTCTAACTACTGGCCAGTATATGTTTCCTGCTATCAGTTAATGTGTTTATTTGAATACACGTGTTCTTTAACTGATTACAGTATTGAATACTTATCCCTAAATTACTATTTTCCTCGGCACTTGCATAAGATCCTACATGGGCAGCCTCACTTACTTGTCTATGCCCTTCGTAGATCTTCCCTGCCTGATGGGAGTTGCACAGCCTCTTCAAAAAAAGCAAGACCCCATATGAGCAGTAGAATCCCTAATAAGTTGTATAGAAAGGCCTTCCACCTTTATTTCAAGTGTTTGACATGGCATTAAACAAAAGTGGGGGCAATCATCTAAATTTGCTATTTAAATACTTACCAAAGGTTTTGTAATACTGATCACCCAGTCTTATAAATCACATTATCTCTTCTACACTGCATAGACAAGAGTTCATTAATATTTAACCATACTTCTTGTGACATCTACTGATTATTAGAAAATAAATCAGCAGTGTGATGATGCTGATGCATTGTCCAATAAACAATTTGAGATGATACTGGAAGCTGGAAAGCTAAAATAGAAAATAGTGTCACAAGACTATCTGAACAAAATTTCAAATATTTTGACTAATTTGACAGCTTTGGTAAAAGATAACCTATTATAAATGTTCTTCTTGTCCAACTCTAAACAGGGTCCACCTGCCAGAGAAAACAGCTTCATTCAAAGATACAGCACAGACCCAACTGTGGTTTTGGACGACAGCATTGAGGAAGAGTTCCATCCTGCACCAGGTTGGTAATTATATTAAACTGTATCTTTACCCAAATTGTTTTTTATTCCGTTTTGGTTAGAATGGGGAATGTCTTGAACCCAAGTCAGGTTTTAACTTTTTGATCTGGGGACAACCATTTATCAGACAGGAAGTGAGGGAAATCTGAACCAGAGAACTAAACAATAAAAAGATGACAGAGGTTCTAGCATTCTGCTACTTAATTTAAGAAAAACAAAACAAAAAGCATTTTTACTTTTTTCTGTGTTGCCATTAGAGAGTTCTGCCCTCATTTCCTGTCCTTCAGCGTGGTGTGCCTTTGTGAATACGGCCTTATAGGGTGCTTGATAATATCAGTTTTCACATTAAATATTGTTCCCATAAACACATGAAACTTTTAGGTATTCACTCAGAAATGTTATTACAATCAATTACATGAAACAGTTTGGGGCACAGTTATAAAATCTGTAGAAAAGAAAATAGGAACAAAATTGATTTGTTGCCAGTCAAGTTTCATTTATAAAATTAAACAAGAAATGTGGTTGGTCAGTGTAATCACAAACTACAGTTTCGCTTTTAATTTTCCTTTACAGTTGCATTAAAATAGATTGAAACAAACCTGGTATTTTTCCATGCAGAGCAATTCAACAGGTTTGCTTTACTGCCCTCCCCAGTAGCAAATACTCACCTCTTTCTCTCCTCCACTGCTCCATTCAGCCACCAGGAACAAAAAATATCTCCAGTGCTTTGACATTGGGAGGAGCATGTGATTGACAACATGTTACGTTTTTGTCGATTGGTCCATCATTGTCACATGAGGTTGCAGTGAAAGTTGTCAGCCCTGCATAGGCTCTGACTGAAGCAATATCACTTACTTTATTTCAGCAAGTGAACAGAGTGAGGGGTAGCGAGGTAAAGGTAATACTGTGTATCTGGGGACGGGGCATAAAAGCAAACCCTTTTCTTTGCTTATCGTTGAGATTTGAAGTTAATCTTTTTTCTTCATATACATTCAGAAATTGTTACAATTCTCATACACTTCATAGATTTTTGGTAATTTATGTATTTATATTCTGTTTGCGTGGTATTACAGTATACACATCTGTATTTCAGAATACGTCAATCAGATGAATCCAAAGTCAGAAACCTCTACAGTAGCAAATCCGGTGTATCTCAATTTGGTTTCAACTGGGAATATTAAACCTCCCATGAATGGAAATTATCAGAATTCTAATGGAAAGAGTGTGGTTAATCCAGAATACCTGAACTCAGGCCAGATGCTCATAACCCAACCAGAAAATGACTATCCTTCCATCTGGGATCAGAAAGTAAACCAACAAATAAGCCTGGACAATCCTGACTACCAACAAGACTTTTTCCCAAAGGAAACCAAAATGAATGGAATTTTTAAGATTCCTGCTGCAGAAAATCCAGAATATTTTCCACTGGCTCCAAAGAGTGACTATATTGAAGCTTCAGCGTGACCACAAGTTGGTGGTAGCATTCCTAACATTCTGCCTTGTAGGACACAGTTGGGTTTTCAATGAACACTTGGGAACAATGGACCCTCATTAAATAAGGATGGTTGCTACACTACAAGTGAACTTTAACCTGAACCTTAAAAAATATTTTGTTGCACAGTTTAGCCTGCATTGACTAAAACTGGTATTTGTCTCTTTTGGTGGGTTTTAAAGATAAACCTTTAATACTTTTATATATAGATATGTATTGCAAGATTTTTTTTTTAATTTGTGTCAAATAGTTTTTAATTCCTGTGGGTTTTTTTATATTGTATAGATATTCTTGCACATTTTTGTCTTTTTTGTGTGTTTGTCCAAGTTAAATGGTATTGTGGAGAGAGATGTTTAAGTAAGTAGATATATAACATGCTGTAATTATAGCAGAGGATCTGCGTTAAACATTGGTTTTAAGTAAAGCTAAGGATTATCTTGTATCAGGAAGGGAGTTAGCACTACATAAAGTCTTAAAATGTTAATCCGTGAGCATGGGTATTTTTCCAGTGACATTTCAGAGATCTGTTTTAGAATGGCTCATTGGATGGCATGTATATATTTAAGTGTTCAAAATGTGAATAAACTTAACTCCCAGTACAGCATTCCCATACTCATATTTATGAGCATGCATACACACATGTATCAACAGCAAATATTATTCATTGCCAGCAAGCCATATTGTTGAAAGGCAAAAGAGGAGGTGATCCGCTGTCTAAAGCAACCAAATGCTTTACTTTGCTGGTAAACTCACCCAATTTATTTTTTTCAGTTTCATGAATGGTCCTCCACATTCTATGTGAGCAAAATGGAAATACTGCAGAATCTAAGCTTTAATAGTCAACAGAGTGGATAGCATTTATTGAGAGTAGGCTTGGTACTGTAAAATTGCCACATTAAATATCTTTCAGTAACTCTGTGGGCTTATTTCCTTAAGGCAAATAGGCTGTTCACCATGCAAGGGAAGTTGCAAATTCATTTTCCCTAGAGTTTAGTGAATGATGGGAAGCTCTACTGGCTTCCATCATCCAATCATGTGCAAGTAAAAATGCTGTTTTTTATTTTTCTTGTACATGATTGGATATTCTTTGTAAAGTTAAATTGTACCACATTTACTAAGATCTGGGGTAAATTTTCTTGCAAAGTAAACTGCCTAATTAATTAAAAATGTGGACGATTGTATACTGCACTTAAATAGTACATCTGTATATTAACATCTGTGGACAGCTCATCCTTTTCAGCAAATACAAATAAAAAGGGGGGAAATAAATTGTATATACTGTATAATAGAGTATTACACAGACACCCTATATTGTTTTATTGGTTGTTCCCTTCTAAACCACATGTATAGTTAAACAGAAGCAAAACATTCATAAAGACACCAGCAGGGTATCAATGATCAATTCTCATCATTTTATAAATTTTTGTTAACTTAAAAAATGGTGTATGTCAATGATCAATTCTTACTTACCTTTCCCCCCCCCCAAAACAATTCCTTCTCCTTCGCTGAAAATACTTTTGCTTATGAAACCAACCAACTACAATTCACCCCCTTCCTAATAACTATTGAAATTGTTTATCTGTCAAAGTAACAGTTAGATTCTACGGTCAACTGATTCTTATATCACTTTTTTACAAAGATCATACAATATTGTTGTAATAGATACTTCACCTGTTCGTTATATATATGGTGCCTAAAATTTTAATGCAGATGAAGATGATTACACGAGTTTATTTAAAAACATATATTTACTCCACAAGCATGATTTTCCATGAGCTCATGTACTGTACATGGATATCAAACTCAATTGTAGTAGACTTGGAACTGCTCCTGAGATACGATGATTTCCTAAGGGGTTGCTTCAAGCTGCATCTGAGTTGCTTAGAGCTGCATCACATTTCTTTAAATTGGTTTTGTATTAAAATATACGAGGAAGAAAAGCAGCCCAGACTCATGTTTATGAGCCCCTCGGCAGAAGGCCATCTGTAACATTCTTTCAATCAAATGTGGTCACTGTATACTGTATGTTCTCTGTCTGGTAAGATCTCTCTTTATTGATCATAGACATCATCCTTAGTGAATTTAGCACCATTCAGGCAGTATTGCAAGGTATTATACTGTTGGAAAAGGGACTCCTGTTTTGCTATATATATATATATATATATAATTATTTTTTTTCCCTTTACATTCCTATTTTTGCATATAACTTCTGACATTACCAAAACTGTACATAATATCCAATGAGCCACTTGTTATGTTGGTTTTCTCCCTGTGTTTTGCATTACCACTATGGGACATATTTTTTACATTGGAGCAGTGCATGAATGGTGTTAAATAGGGCCCTACAGAAGCTTGTCTTATTCTAAACATATGTCAGCCTTATAAACGAGTGCAAGGAGCAAAGCATTTGGTGCAAGGCATAGTACCCTGGAAAGCAAATAAGAATGCATCATGTAATTATACAGTACATGCCTAATGTTTGGCACAGGTTAGTCTACTGTGCAGTTACCATGCTGCTCATTGCATTTTCTATTGAATAACCTGATTGGTGTTCATTAAAAATGTTTTAATTGATTATCAAGTAAATTTTGGTTACAAAGGGTGTTATTTTAAAGCATTATTTTAATGTTACATAAGTGTTTTTTTTTGTTTTTTTTTTTTAATCACATTGTATTTTTTACGAATGGACTTGTGAATGTATATTTGATGTTAAAAAAACTTTTATTTTTAAATGTCTCTTTGTCTGTGATAGGTCTACCTAAATTTTCCAATTAAAATATTTAATGTGTATGCTGTATCTCCCTAGTTTGAAGTTTGAAGAAAACAAAAACAACACACAGCAATTAACACCATTTTGCCTGTCTCTCCATATTATTTAAAATATCCACTACTCTTAAAATCTAGGCAAGGCAGGAAACCTACTTTGCTCTTTTTAAGCTGTCATTTGTATTCTGCATGTATTTACTTGCTTATACATCAAAGTGTATGTGTAATGTGGTTTAAATGCTTGTGCTCATCGCAATCCCTATACATTTTTTTTTGTTTTCTCAGGAGGACTGACAGGCATTGAAAGGGGAAAAAGGATAGAATTTGAGAACAGCTAGCTTTTTAATTTATTTTTAAGCTGTAGTTGTGCTCTTGGAATGGGAATTTAATTTAAAATTCTAGTTACACGTCAGAGTGTTAGATCATCTTTGTAGAAAAAATAAAAAGGCGAACTAACTTCAGGCACTCCCCTGGTACCCCTGTACTTACATCTGGGGTTGCTGACCTGTCAGCACCCCCACAGCTCATCCAGCGGTTTGGGGATTTTAAATATCCGCTCCTCTCTCTCTTTTCAGTACAGCGCTACTGGGACAGATGAGATTGATTCTGATTGGCTAGCACCATCACAGTGAATCAATCTCATCCATCCCCAAAGTACTGCATGGGGAAGAGGGAGAAGAGTGGGGCTTTCAAATCCACAGACCACTCGATTGTCAGCAAGGGGGGGTGGCGCAGAGGTGAAGGTTCTGACGGCTCAGCAATCCCCAGAGGTAAATATAGCAAGGACCAGGGGTCATTAGGAACGATGTTCGGTGTTAGTTCACCTTTACATTTTTTTTCTGTAAATGTGAATTGGCCCTTTAAGGCAGAATTCCTGTATTTTACTTGAATTGGTTCAATTTTCATTTGTCTTGGGAAGCCTATTACATATATACATGCTACTTATTATGACCAATTAACAAACTACCATTAAAGCGTATGTTGTTTGCTTCTAGTCTTTGATTGGTGTTATCCAGAGCTGCATTAGAGAAATGTACGCTCTCTTCCTGTCCTGCTGACAATGGTTTCACCAGACAGAAAGCAAGAAAAACTGTACAACAGGAACACAGGCATAAATAAAAACATGAGAGGGGCTCTAGCCATGACTAAAGCCCTTTTGGGCTGAATCATGGCAGCTTTTCCTGCAGGGCTGTGTTTTTAGTCTTATGTATCAATAAAATGTATGACTTTTTTATGCTGGAACCTTCCGTGATATGGACTATCTATTACTAATATCCTATTGAAAGTGAGCAGGCAGAAGCTGGAGTCAGGTTCCGGAACCCCAAAGTCTGATTGGGATATAGGGATTGAGCACTTCGCTTGAATTGTATGCTAAGAATTCTAGTCTTCCCCTAATCTATTAAGATGAATCCTTGTTGTCTATGTTGCGGGTGGAGAGTTCCCTTCAGTGTCTGTCTGGTAAAATGATGTAAGCAGCACAGGAAGTTAGAATTAAGCTGGCCATAAATAAATAGAAATTCAAATGAAAATTTTTAGGAAAGTTCTTAGGAAAATGTTTATGAAAATTAATATTTTCAAAAGATTTGAATGTTCTAAAGATTCATTTGCTTTTAACATTTGATTTTGGAATGAATGGACTTAACTGAACAAAAAATACATACACTGATTGGAATTTGTTCGTTTGAGAACATTTTTCACCCTGCTCCTTCTAATTTTCTTGTCACTGCGGTTGAAAACTAACATTGATTTGACCCACTAATGATTAGAAAAATTAGCTAACATTCTTTTTCTAAGAATTTCCATTCGAAATTCTACCCATCTATGGCCAGCTTAAATCTTTAATGGAGCTATGGAGCAGCAGTAAAATCTTGACCTGGGTTCAAACCCTTTCCCATTCAGGGCCATCTTAATAGCAACATTGGCCCATGGGCAAAATAATACACTGGAGCCCCTACCAGCCTGCCCCAATTTATGCACCTACTCTCAAGAATTAAGGTATTCATAGTTGGTAGAATTAAATATATATTTATTAGTACTTTATTTAATAAAATCAATTTTAAATAATAAGAAAACATGCCATAAATCAAAGAGTAATCAACACAAAGGACACAGTACAGAGGGGGAGGCAGAAGGGCACAGTGCAAGAGGGGATCAAGATGGCACAATACTGGGATCAGGAGGGCACAGTACAGGTTCTGGGACATGT